TCGGAGCCCTCTTGGGCCGGCAGGGCGCCTCGTGGGCCGTCTTGGGGCCGTCTTGGGCCATCTTGGGCGCCTATCGGGCCGTCTTGGGGCCATCGTGGGCTGTCCTGAGCCCCTCTTGGGCCTCTCGTGAGGTCCTCTTGGGTCGTCTTGGGCGCCTCTTGGGTCGTCCTGGGCCCGTCTGGAGCCGTCTTTGGGCCCTCTTGGGGGCCGTCTTTGGCGATCTTGGAAGCCTCTGGGGCCGTCGAAAAGCAATAAGCCGAATCTGCCGAAAATGTTAATTTTCCGAAGGGAGTGTGACGAATTTAGCTTGAGGGAACCCTTTCGGGGGACCCCTTGGACCCGCCTGGAGCCGTCCGCGGGCGTCTTTGGGGCTCATGGGGCCGTCTGGAGAACATCTTGGACCGCCTGAAAGCCGTCTTGGGTCGTCTCGGGGCCTCCATGGGCCGTCTCGGGGCTCTTCTGGGGAGCTCCAGTGCCGTTTCGGCCCCCCGCAAACCCATCAAGCATCTTTCGGATTTATTTGAATGGATATATGAATACATACATATAGAGGGAGAGGGAGAGAGAGAGAGAGAGAGAGATAGAGAGACTAGAACCATCGCGCGCGCTTCGCGCGCGCTCAGGTTCTAGCAGGCCCCAGGACTGGACGAATTCATTGCTCCACTGAAGTAGTGGATCAAAGTCCACGCAATCCAATCTGCATTCCGAAAGGCCTTCGAGGAAAATGGTTGTGTAAGGGGGCGGAGGCCGTATGAATCGGGTTCCCGCAAGGCCTTCTGGGAGCATGGGTTTGGGGGCGTCTTGGGGAGCCTGTTGGGGCGTGCCGTCGTCGTCGTCGTCGTCGTCGTCGTCGTCGTCGCCGCCGTCGTCGTCGTCGTCGTCGTCGTCGTCGTCGTCGTCGTCGTCGTCGTCGATGTCGTCGTCGTCGTAATGTCGTCGTCAGCTATTGGGGCGCGCCGTCGTCGTCGTCGTCGTCGTCGTCGTCGTCGTCGTCGTCGTCGTCGTCGTCGTCGTCGTCGTCGTCGTCGTCTCGTCGTCGTTTCGTCGTCGTCGTCGGTTCAAGAGGGCACTTGGGGCAACTTTGTGCGAAACGATCTGCGGAGGGCCGCGAGAAGGCGATCAGTCATGTTCCCAATCAACTTCCCAGACAGCTCTCCTGTAGCATGATGGTACTTCGAAGCCTCCGGAGACTCGCGGGCCCATGATGAACCATGTCCCCGGAAGGCTTTCTGGGGACATGGTTTGTTGGGGTGTGTTGGGGGGTCTCTTGGGCGTTCCCTGGGGGCCCCTTGGGGGCCTCCGGGAACTCTCGGGCCCATGATGAACCATGTCCCCGGAAGGTTTTCTGGGGTCATGATTTCTTAGGGTGCGTTGGGGGGCCTCTTGGGCTTTCCCTGGGGGTTGGGGCTTCCTGGGGGCCTCTTGGGCGCCTCACGGGGCTTCGTGGGAGCCTCTTGGTGACCTCCGGGGGCCTCCAGGCGGCCTCTAGGGCCAGAGACCTCGAAATATCGGTTGGCGGTCCCCCTCTGGGCCCTCTCTTGGGGAGCTCTTGGGCCACAATTGGGTTGTCTGGGGAGCTTCCTGGGCCGTCTTGGGGCCCTCGCCCGTCTTGGAGCGATCTGAAGGGCCTCCGAGCGAGGCCGTGAGGGAGCGCTGGGAAGCGGGGGAAGCAAGAACGCGTAAATCCTTCAGAAACCATCGGAACAATAGTGAATCTTGCCTCGCAGGGCCCTTTTGGGGAGCCTCTTGAGTGCGTCCTGGAGCGTGTTGGAGTCCTCGTCGGCCGCCGTCTTGAGGGCAGCTTGGGCGTCTTCGGGGCCTCTTGGGACCGTCTAGGGCCCTCTCGGGACCTCCATTAGCCTGTCGTGGCCTGCTTCGGGGCGGGCCCAGGGCGCCTCGGGACCCCTCTGGGCCTTCTTTTGGCGCGCTCTTGGGGCACACTTGGGTTGTGTGGGGAGCATCCTGCGCCGTCCTGGGGCCCTCGTCGGGGCCTCGTGGGCCTTCTTGGAGCGATCTGAAGGGCCTCCGAGGCCGTGAGGGAGCTCTGGAAAGCGGGAAAAGCGAGAGCGCCAAAATCCGAAACACTCGGAAAACGAACGAATCTTGCCTTCCAGGGCCCTCTTGGGGAGCCTCTTGAGTCCGTCCTGGAGCGTGTTGGAGTCCTCGTCGGATGTCTTGAGGGCATCTTGGGCGTCTTCGGGGCCTCGTGGGACCGCCTTGGGCCCTCTCGGGACCCCCTTAGCCTGTCGTGGCCTGCTTCGGGGCGGGCTCGGGCCGCCTCGGGAGCTCTGGACCCCCCCCCGCAAACCCCGGTGGGCACCGATGGGGGGAACAGGCAGCGGCCCGCCCCCCCCCCCCACCCCGAGCCTACTCCGAGATAGAGAATCATGTTCCCGGGAAGCTTTCCGGGAGCATGATTTATTCGGCTCTCTAGGAGGGGGGCCTCTGGGGGCTCACCGAGGGGCGCCTTTTGGCATTGTCGGCAAGCCTATTGGAAACATGTTTGGGGCGGTGGGCGGAAGCCCAAGGGATCATGCTCCTGGAAAGCTATCTGGGAAATACGATTTTCCGAAGTGTCTTGGGGGCCCGCAGGGGGCTTTCCCTGCGGGCCCCTTGGGGGCCTATGGGGGCTTCCGGGGGGCCTCTTGGGAGCCTCACGGTGCTTCTTGGGAGCCTCTTGATGGCCTCCGGGGGCGTCCTAGGAGCCCTCTCAGGCCGGAGACTTTGAAATGTCGCGCTCTTCGGGCCCTCTTGGGTCGCTCTTGGGGCGAAGCCGTCTTGGGGGCCTCCTGGGCCAGCTTTGGGGCCTCTGGGGCCGTCTTTGGGATGTTCCGTCAGCCCCACAGGACGACCCTTTTGGGCCGTCTTGTGCCCTCTTGGGTCTCTCTTGGGCTGTGTTGGGGCTCCGCGGGGGCGTCTTGGGCACTGCGAAGACGAAGGAAAAAAGTATGCTGAATGTGTACGTTTTGCTACGGGAACGGGCCGATTTTTGCCTCTTGAAGGCCCTCTTGGGGCCCTCTTCGGCCATCTTGAAGCCATCTCGGGCCCTCTGGGGCCTTGCTTAGGCTGTCTTGTGGGCCTCTTGGGCGTCCTCGGAACTCGGAAATCATGTTCCTGGAGAGGCTTCCGGGAACAGGATTGCGAACGGGGCCCTCTTGGGCCTCCCTGAGGCCATCTTGGGGGCCTCCTGGGCCGGCTTCGGGGCCTCTTGGGCCATCTTGGGGTGTTCCGTGAGCCCCATTGGCCGACTCTTTTGGGCCGTCTTGGGTCCTCGTGGGTCTCTCTTGGGCTGTCTTGGGGCTCCTCGGGGGCGCCTGGGGCACTGTGAAGACGAAGCCAGCGAGTATGCTGAAATTGTACGTTTTACAAAGGAAATGGGCCAGGTCTTGCCTCTTGAAGGCCTTCTTGGGGCCTTCTTCGGCCATCTTCAAGCCATCTCGGGCCCATGGGGGCCTCGCTCAGGCTCTCCTGGGGCCCAGTAGGGGGCCCTGGGAGCCCGGAAGTCATGTTCCCGGAGAGGCTTCGGGGAACATGATTTCGAACGGGGCCCTCTTGGGCCTCCCTGAGGCCGTCTTGGGGGCCTCCTGGGCCGGCTTCGGGGCCTCTTGGGCCGTCTTGGGGTGTTCCGTGAGCCCCATTGGCCGACTCTTTTGGGCCGTCTTGGGTCCTCGTGGGTCTCTCTTGGGCTGTCTTGGGGCTCCTCGGAGGCGCCTGGGTCACTGTGAAGACGAAGCCAGCGAGTATGCTGAAACTATACGTTTACAAAGGAAATGGGCAGATTTGTGCCTCTTGAAAGCCCTCTTGGGGCCCTCACAGGCCCTCTTCGGCGTTCTTGGGCGTCTTTGGGGCCTCTTCAAGTTTTCGTGACCGACTGTACGGCCCGCGTGGCTTGTCGTGGGCAATTTGGAAGCAGCCCGGGGCAGTCCCGGGCGGTCTGTGACCCCCCAAAAGTTCGGGCGGGCGGCCATGGGGGATGACGGCACCGATTTTGGCCGCCCCCAGCCTACTCATATATATATATATATATATATATATATATATTTATATACACATCTGTGCCAATGTTTATTTGTGCACATATATATATATATACATATCTGATATATATATATAATATATATATATATATAATTATATATATATATATATATATATATATATATATATATCAGATATGTCCTGAAAACTTGTGGAGAATCTGGCGGCCCTCGTTTCTGGAACCCGTGAAGGACCACAAGACACCTGGGACACCAAGTGAAAATCCGGAGAATCTTGGAGCGCACCCGTCAGTCGGACGACGCAGGTCGAACCATGAAGGGAGGACGGCGGTGAACGCAGACTTGGGCTTTCGCCCGCCCATGGAAGAGGAGGGAAGAAGGAGGAGGAGGAGGAGGAGGAGGAGGAGGAGGGAAGAAGGAAAAAAAACACTCGATCCTTGAAGTAGGAAGGCGCCTAAAGTAGATTGGGAGCGCTTTCGCGGCTTTGTCGACCCCCTGAGGCCTGGACCCTTTCCCATGGACTGGTTTTTCATCCTGAATCGTTTTTGACAATCCCCAGGCCCAGCAAGGGCCCCCAGAGGCTGAAAATAGTGAAAAACTGCCCGTCACGTTTTTTCACAACGCGAGGGTGTCTGGGTGGCCTGGGTTGCAGCGTATCGCTCTCGCGACTTCGTGCTCCCCTGCGGGTCTAGGCCTCCCAGATGGGATCGGAGCAGATGGGGTTCGGAGGCTCGCGCCGCACCGCCGATGCATCGCCGGTGCGGCTCGGTGTGGATCCCGATCTGCTCCACGTCGACGTCGCCGATGCATCGCCCGCGTCGACGATGCATCGCCAGTGCACCGCCGACGCATCGCAGGTGCATCGGCGATGCGGCGCGATCCTCCGACCCCCGTCTGCTCCAGGAGGAGGAGGGAGGAGGAGGAGGAGGAGGAGGAGGAGGAGGAGGAGGAGGAGGAGGCGGAGGAGGAGGAGGAGGAGGAGGACCCCATCGGGGAGGCCTCTGCCTGCGGGTCCTCGTCCCCAACGAGCGCTGCGGCCTCCGCGGGCGGCGCGGCCTCCAGCGCGGCGGCGGCGAGCCAGACGGGCTCGCCGCCCGCCGCGCGCACCTCCGCGCTGCCGTCCGAGGCGTCGAGCTCGCGCACGCGGGCGCAGCGGCCCAGGACGGCGCACCTCGCCGCGTCGCCGTCCGCCCACCTCATCCTGCTGCCTCTGCTCCGCGCTCCTCCGCCCCCCCCCCCCCCCTCCTGCCCCTCCGCCTCCTCCTCCTGTTCCTTTCTCTCTCCCTCCCCCCCTCCCTCCCTCCCTTTTCCTCCTCCTCCTCCTCCTCCTCCTCCTCCTCCTCCTCTCTCCCCCTTCACCTCCTCCCACTCCTCTCTCTTCCTGCTCCTCCTCCCTCCTCCTCCCTGTCCCTCCCTTTCTCCTGCTCCTCCGACTCCTCCTCCCTATCCTTCTCCTTCTCATCTGGCTCCTCCTCTCCCCTCCCCCCTCCTCCTCCTGGCTCTCCTCTCCTCCATCGTCTTGTTCTACTCTTCCTCCATCGTCAAGTCCCCCTCTTCCTCTCCTACATCGTCCTGTCCATCGTCGTGTTCTTCATCGTCCTGTCCTGTACTCCTCCTCCTCCTCCTCCTCCTCCTCCTCCTCCTCCTCCGTACCTTCTCTGACAACGCCTTGTCCCCTAGTGTCCTTTCCTCCTCCCTCCCTCCTCGTCCTCCTTCCTCCTCCTCCTGCCCCTCCTCCTGCTCCTCCTCCTCCTTCTCCCTCCTCCCTCCCCCCTCTTCCTCCAACTCCTCCCTCTTCTTCCATCTTCTCTCCTCCTCCTCCTCCTCCTTCTCCTCCTCCTCCTCATCCCTATCCTCGTCCTCCCTATCCTCCTCCGTCTCATCTGGCTCCTCCTCTCCCCCTCCCCCCTCCTCCTCCTGCCCCTCCTCCTCCTCCTCCGCCTCCTCCTCCTCCTCCTCCTCCTTCTCCCTCCCCACCCACGTAATTATTTCCATACCCATCCTTCTCCTCCTCCTCCTCCTCCTCCTCCTCCTCCTCCTCCTCCTCCTCCTCTTCTTTCACGCCACTACCACCAGTACAACCTCTGCCCATTGCCCAGGACGGCGCACCTCGCCGCGTCGTTGTCCTCGCCGATGCCGCAGTCACGGCAAGCATTCAGCACCGCTTGCTGGTCCTCCAGCACGCGGACCACCTCGGGACGAGGCCAGCCTGGTACCAAGCCAATTCGATACGCGCTTCTGCTCGTGCTGGCACGCGCCGCAGCGCGCACCAAGTTGGTCTGGTACACGGTTGCCGTCGTCCGACACTAGGCTGCGCTTGCACGCGGCCCTCAGAACCTCGCCATCGATCAGAGGTCTATGCCTTGTCCATTTTTGTTACCTAACAGCTCTTGCTGATAGGTTTCTAGTGGTCTCAAAAGAGAGCATCATGACTCCTCAAGGGGGTCTGGGCGGGACCCGGGGAGGCTGCCGTCGAAGCCGAAATCGCTTGGGACATCCTCGCAAAATCGCTCTTGGTGCTCCCAGAACTCCATTCCCGGGCCACATTTTGGATGCCCGGAGCCAACTGTAGGCCACTTCGTGCTCTTCGACTTCCCAGAACTCCATTCCCGGGCCACATTTTGGATGCCCGGAGCCAACTGTAGGCCACTTCGTGCTCTTCGATTTCCCAGAACTCCATTCCCGGGCCACATTTTGGATGCCCGGAGCCAACTGTAGGCCACTTCGTGCTCTTCAAGTTCCCAGAACTCCATTCCTGGGCATGATTTTGAATGCCCGGAGCCAACTGTAGGCCACTTCGTGTTCTTCTAGTTCCCAGAACTCCATTCCTGGGCCACATTTTGAATGCTGAGGCAGGCTGATGCTGCGGCCGAGGCAGGCTGAGGCTGAGGCAGGCTGAGGCTGAGGCCGAGGCTGAAGGCAGACTGAGGCTGAGGCTGAAGCAGACTGAGGCTGAGGCTGAGGCAGGCTGAGGCTGAGGCTGAAGCAGGCTGATGCTGAGGCAGGCTGAGGCTGAGGCTGAGGCTGATGCAGGCTGAGGCTGAGGCAGGCTGAGGCTGAGGCCGAGGCTGAAGGCAGACTGAGGCTGAGGCTGAAGCAGGCTGAGGCTGAGGCTGAGGCAGGCTGAGGCTGAGGCAGGCTGAGGCTGAGGCTGAGGCAGGCTGAGGCTGAGGCTGTGACTGCGACTGCCGTTGCCGCTGCGACTGTCATCGCGAATGCGACTACGACTGCGAGAACAGCAGAATTCTACAACTGGATTTTCATCTGAATCTTAAGGGGAATGCTTTCAGATATGCTTCTACACATCGCTGTTAGGTTGCTTTGCCGGGATAATTACCTAACAGCGTTTGCTGATAGGTTTCTAGTAGGGTCAAAAGAGATCATCATGACTCCTCAAGAGGGTCTGGGCGGGCTTCCGGGGAGGAGAACCGGGAATCGATTTTCGCCAACAGTCACACACTTCGTGCTCTTCGACCTCCCAGAACTCCATTCCCGGGCCACATTCTGGAGAACCGGGAACAGAGCCGGGCTCGCTTTTCGCCAACAGTCACACACTTCGTGCTCTTCGACCTCCCAGAACTCCATTCCCAGGCCACACTCTGGAGAACCGGGAACAGAGCCGGGCTCGTTTTTCGTCAACGGTCACACACTTCGTGCTCTTCGACCTCCCAGAACTCCATTCCCGGGCCACATTTTGGATGCCCGGAGCCAACTGTAGGCCACTTCGTGCTCTTCGATTTCCCAGAACTCCATTCCCGGGCCACATTTTGGATGCCCGGAGCCAACTGTAGGCCACTTCGTGCTCTTCAAGTTCCCAGAACTCCATTCCTGGGCATGATTTTGAATGCCCGGAGCCAACTGTAGGCCACTTCGTGTTCTTCTAGTTCCCAGAATTCCATTCCTGGGCCACATTTTGAATGCTGAGGCAGGCTGATGCTGCGGCCGAGGCAGGCTGAGGCTGAGGCAGGCTGAGGCTGAGGCCGAGGCTGAAGGCAGACTGAGGCTGAGGCTGAAGCAGACTGAGGCTGAGGCTGAGGCAGGCTGAGGCTGAGGCTGAAGCAGGCTGATGCTGAGGCAGGCTGAGGCTGAGGCTGAGGCTGATGCAGGCTGAGGCTGAGGCAGGCTGAGGCTGAGGCCGAGGCTGAAGGCAGACTGAGGCTGAGGCTGAGGCTGAGCAGGCTGAGGCTGAGGCTGAGGCAGGCTGCTGAGGCTGAGGCAGGCTGAGGCTGAGGCTGAGGCTGTGACTGCGACTGCCGTTGCCGCTGCGACTGTCATCGCGAATGCGACTACGACTGCGAGAACAGCAGAATTCTACAACTGGATTTTCATCTGAATCTTAAGGGGAATGCTTTCAGATATGCTTCTACATATCGCTGTTAGGTTGCTTTGCCGGGATATTTTTTTGTGTAGCATCGCAAGACAATCCAAGATGCTCCTCGATGGCCCCCGCCGAGAAAAGACAACACGGGGGAGGAAGAACCACCCCGACCCTCATACTTGGCGTTTGCTGCACGGCCCTTGGCGTTCACTGTTCAGCCCTGTCCCGTTCGCTTCTTTATATGGGTGCGCTGACGAAGCGGCTCCGCTTGCCGGGGTGCACATGAGGGAGGTGGTTTCCAGCCTTCTGGAAAGCGCACGCGTCCGAGCGATGCCAAGGTGCACACGCGCAAATTCGAGCCGGCGCCGGCAGATTGAGGCTGCGCGCGCGCCTCTCTCCGGCCTCCCGGGGTGAAGCGCTCTCGGCCCAGGGCCTCTCGGGGCAGAGCTCTCGGCCCAGGGAGCAGGGCCACGACCCATGTGCTGAGCATGGCCAGGGCGACGAGACGTGTACATCCGAGGCGGTGGGGTTGAGATCGAGTGAAACGGAGTGCCCCAAGCGGGGGACATCGGTTCTCGCTTCCGTTGGTGTCGTGCGGGTTGTGCGTGCGAGCGAGGCAAGGCTGAGCTGCGCGAGCTCCTTCTGTATCGCCTCAGGGATATATCCTCACGCGACACAGTTGCCCCCAGAACCACAGGCCACACACATGCTGCTGCGCACCAACCGCGTAGACCCTATTGCAGCTCAGCCGTGTAAGTCTATCGGTTCTGGAGAATTCGCGGAGAGGTCTCAGGAGTGTGGGCAACGCACGATCCCGAAAGACTCAACAAGACGGTAGCAGTTGCAGTCATCATCGCTCACTTTGGGAGGCCCCACCCCGCCTTGTAAACTTCTGATTGCAGGCCCCCCTCTGGGAGGACTCCCTCGGGCCATCCACTCCTGTAGTTCAACTTTCTTACCTGACAGCGAAGACTGATAGGTTTCTAGTGGGGTCAAAGGAGAGCATCATGACTCCTCAGGGGGGTCGGGGCGGGACCCGGAGCGGGACCCGGCGCGGCTGCCGTCGAAGCCCAAATCGCTTGGGACATCCTCGCAAAATCGCTCTTGGCGCTGCTAGAACTCCATTCCCGGCGTACATTTTGGATGCCCGGAGCCAACTGTAAGCCACTTCGTGCTCTTCGACTTCCCAGAACTCCATTCCCGGCAAATTTTGGATGCCCGGAGCCAACTGTAGGCCACTTCGTGCTCTTCGAGTTCCCAGAACTCCATTCCGGGCCACATTTTTGCCCGGAGCCAACTGTAGGCCACTTCGTGCTCTTCGTTCCCAGAACTCCATTCCCGGGCCACATTTTGGATGCCCGGAGCCAACTGTAGGCCACTTCGTGCTCTTCAAGTTCCCAGAACTCCATTCCTGGGCATGATTTTGAATGCCCGGAGCCAACTGTAGGCCACTTCGTGTTCTTCTAGTTCCCAGAACTCCATTCCTGGGCCACATTTTGAATGCTGAGGCAGGCTGATGCTGCGGCCGAGGCAGGCTGAGGCTGAGGCAGGCTGAGGCTGAGGCCGAGGCTGAAGGCAGACTGAGGCTGAGGCTGAAGCAGGACTGAGGCTGAGGCTGAGGCAGGCTGAGGCTGAGGCTGAGGCAGGCTGATGCTGAGGCAGGCTGAGGCTGAGGCTGAGGCTGATGCAGGCTGAGGCTGAGGCAGGCTGAGGCTGAGGCCGAGGCTGAAGGCAGACTGAGGCTGAGGCTGAAGCAGGCTGAGGCTGAGGCTGAGGCAGGCTGAGGCTGAGGCAGGCTGAGGCTGAGGCTGAGGCAGGCTGAGGCTGAGGCTGTGACTGCGACTGCCGTTGCCACTGCGACTGTCATCGCGAATGCGACTACGACTGCGAGAACAGCAGAATTCTACAACTGGATTCTCATCTGAATCTGAAGGGGAATGCTTCCAGATATGCTCCTACACATCGCTGTTAGGTTGCTTTGCCGGGATATTTGACGTCAATGGATGGAGCCTGGTTTGGGGCGTTTCGCATGAAGCGTCCTCAGGATTTGCCTGGTTGAGCCCCTGGTTTCGCCTGGTTTGGCCAAGCGCCCCCGCCTGAGGCATCCTCAGAATTTGCCTGGTGTGCCCCCTGGTTTGGCCTTGTTTGGGGCCGGCTTCGCCTGAGACGTCCTCACACTTAGCTTGGTTTGGTTCGGTTTCGGCGCGGATTCGCATGGTGCAAACTATGTGGCGCAAGTCCGCACCTTCTCGCGGCGTTGGGCCGGTGTCTGGCGCTCGGAGAAACCTCTCCCGAGCCTGTCGTTGGGCACAACTGGAGATACATTGCCTTTCCCCGGCATCCGGGGCGTGCGTGTGGATTGTCCCGCGGTTGTCCTGTTGTTGTCTCGCGGTTGTCCTGCGGTTCTCCCGTGGCTGACCCGCGGTTGTCCTGTGCTTGTCCTGTGGCTGTCCCGCGGTTGCCCTGTGCTTGTTCTTTTGGTCGTCCCATGGTTTCCCGGTGGCTGTCCCAGTGGTTGTGCCGCGGTGGCCCTGTGTGTGTTCCGCGGTTGTCCTGTGCTTGTCCTGTGGTTGTCCCGCGGTTGTCCTGTGCTTGTCCTTTGGTCGTCCTATGGCTTTCCGGTGGCTGTCCCAATGGTTGTGCCGCGGTGGCCCTGCGTGTGTTCCATGGCTGTCCCGTGGTTGCCCCCCATGGTTGTCCCGTGGTTGCCAGCGTGTTTTTTTTCGGTGGTTCTCCCGTGGTTGCCCGTGGTTGTCCCGCCATTGCTCAGTCTGTGTATCCGTGCGCTTAACATGGCTAGCTAGTGACCCCGATCGATATGAGGTGTAACGTATGCAGCATGTATATAAGCACAGTGGCTGATGGTGGTACCAGTGTGTGAATACATATTGGGACTTGTATTTTGATAATGGTATCGACGGACTAATCGTGCGACCGGTAAATGGGGATATCGATAGAAGATATCGAGGTCGCTGGATGTATACATCGCGATCCACATCCGACTCCAATCACGCACCGAATGCTGCACCCGTCTTCCCCAAACCTCCCTACCACCCAAATGGTGGTCTTACCAATCGGTCGGAAGACGTAGGTCGGCACATGAAGCAGGAAGGCGTTGTAAGTGGATTGGGCTCCCGCCCGCCTCCCGTAGAGGAGGGAAGAGGGAAACACGCTCGACCCTTTAAGCAGGAAGGCGGCTAAAGTAGCTTGGGATCTGGGAATCCACATCTGCCTTCCTTCAACGGCCGATGGGCACCTGTCCGGGCGCCGGTGCCACCACCAAGGGAACGCCAGAGAAAGAACGAGAGGGCGCCTCCGCTGCCACGGCAGGCCTCGGCCACGGGCGGGCCCCCTGGCCTCGGCTCGGAGCAACGGCCCTGGAGCCGGAGCCCAACGTCGGCGGCGAGCAAAGGGGGGGGGGGGAAGCGAGACGGGGGCCTCGGCCCTCCCCTGCCGCCCCCCCGGCCACAAGCGTCGGGGCGCTCGCCGCCGCCGCAGGCCGCCGTGGCTTTCGCAGCGGTCGCCCCCAGAGCTCCGAAATCGTGGTTCTTGTGCACCGCGTGGGCTCCCGGAGCGGCGGCGAGCGAGGGAGGGGGAAGTGAGACGGAGAAGGCCCTCGCGGAAGGCGGCGAGGCTTCTTTGGAGCCCCCCGGCCTTCGGAGAGGCTGCTTCTGCGCCTTCGGGGGGAGGCTCAGAACACTCCTCGGAGGTCCGGGGGACCTCCGAGCCTTCGGAGAAAGCCCGCCCCTTCTCGCTTCCCCCCCGGGCTCGCCGCCGACAAAGGGGCGACGAAAAGAATCAGGTCTCACGCGGGATGGCACGGCGACCTTCAGCCGCGGCTCACGCGGGCCGCCAGCGCAGCACGCTACGCTGGAAGCGAGGGCGCTCACGCGCGACCTTCTGCGGGCAGCCTGCGCGCCTGGGTCTGCGCGAACGACCCCCTTTTGTTGCGTCGCTCATTTCAGCGTCCAGCTGCCGCGATGCCTGGCCGACGACGAGCTCGCTGACGGCCGCGAAGGGCGCCGGCCGCGGGGGCACCCCGTCCGCGGCCGCGGCCTCGACGGCCCACGCCGCCAGCAGCGCCCGCGCGCGGCCGGTGGTGAGCGCCATGCGCGAGTCCAGGTGCAGCACGGCCTCCCCCTCGGACACCTGCGCAGGGAAGACGGCGGCGCACCCAGGTGAGCGAGGACCAAGAGCGGGTCTCACGCGAGGTGACGCGGCGAGCTTGCGCCGCGGCTTACGCGGGCCGCCCGCGCGGCACGCCACGTTTGAAGCGAGGGCGCTTATGCGCGAAGTTGCGCGGGCATCTTACGCGAGAATGTCGGCGCCGACGACCCCGTTTATGGGCGTCGTTAAAATGGGACGGACAATTATCGTGTGTTGGGAGTAAGTGGCTGGGACGATACAGGGCACGACTGTGTACTAAACACCTTCGGCATGCGCGGTGGTACGGATGATCTGATCCTTTCTCCCAGCCCCATCCTCCCAACCCGATGAGCGTCTGGCTAAACAACAAGGCATACATAGGGGAGGGGGGAGGGCTTCTCAGGGGGAGGCTGCTTCTCAGCAGGCGCAGGGCTTACATCTATAACTGGAAGAGGCCCGCGCCTTCTGGGAAGCAGGGTGCTTCTAAGAAGCCCTCCCCCCTCCCCCCTGCCCCGCCCCTGCACGTGGCTGGGGACGCCCCCCCCCCCCCCCCCTACACCTCTTCGCGTTGCGAAGAGATCGCAGCGGCCTCCGCGGGCCCTCGCCGGGCCCGCGGAGGCCGTCCGAGAACGGCTCGGGGTGAGACGACGCAGACCCCCGACATCGTGACTTTCTTAGGACGTGGCCCCTGCAGGAGCCTGGACCCCTTCTGGGGGACCAGGGCTCTCCTCCTGAGTCGTCTCCTGACAGTCCCGGGGCCCGGCGAGGGCCCCGGGAGGCCGAGAATAAAGAAACACCTCACGTCGTGATTCTGGAGAGGCCTGGGTGGCGCCGGCCCCAGGAGAGAGGTCTGGACCTCTGGGGGCCGACGCGCGGCGAAACCAGGGACGACCTCGGAGGTCTGGGCCCCCGGCCCGTGCAGCGCCGCCGTGCGTGGCCAGGGCGGTGCTGGAGCGGAGTGGCAGTGCTGGGGGGCAGGGTCTGCAGCTGGGAGCTCGAGGGGGGAGGGGGTTGGGCTGGGGAGCCTCCTCCTCCTCCTCCTCCTCCTCCTCCTCCTCCCTCCTCCCTCCTCCTCCTCCTCCCTCCTCCTCCCTCCTCCCTCCTCCTCCTCCTCCCTCCTCCCGGGAGGGGGCTTGAGTGAGTGAGAACAGTCGCGATGCGAGTCGAAACCGAGCCACGAACGCTTGCGAGCGAGCTTCTCGGCCTTGCTTAAAGCTTTGGGTCGTCGATCGGACTCGGTCCGATTTGAATACTCGCGTCGCGTCGCTTTCCGAGGGAGGGGAGGGGGCGGGGAGGGGGAGGAGGGAGGGCGGGCGGGGGAGGGGGAGGGCGGAGCAGGGAGGTGAGGCGGTGTACGCTACGTGCTTGCTGAGGCCAGGTGGGGCAGCATCCTGGGGCCCAGGAGGGCCCTTGCTGGGCAGGGTGGTGGTGTGCAGCTGCCCTCTGCGGAGCACCTGCCGCAACGCGCGCATGCCCCAGCCGCGCCCAGGGCCGAAATCGAAAGGCTCCACCGCCGCCTTCTCGTGCAGGAAGCCGGGGGCCATCTCCGCCAAGCGGCGCATCGGCGCATCGACATCGGCGGCCATTGCGGCCGCCGTCGACCCCCGTCGGCGTTACTGGATTGCTTTAAGAACATCTCAGCCAAAGGGGTGCGGCAGGAGGAGGAGGAAGATGAGGATGAGGAAGATGAGGAGGAGGAAGATGAGGAGGAGCAGGACGAGGAGGACAACGGGGTATGTAAGAGACTCTCGGCGACCCTGGCGCATGAGGAGGAGGCACAACTTCGTTGTCGTGACTGTTTCACAACGTGGGCCCCCAGAGATCTCGACATATTTCGGCCACACGAGTGACCCTGGGCAAGGGTGACCTCTGGTGCGCGGCTTTACGGGGGACGCGGGGTGGCCAAACCTGGGCGCGCAAGCCGCTGATACCGCTTCGCGCTCAGCGATCGGGGGACCCATTGGGCCTGCTCCGAAGGTCACTGAAAGGTCACTCTCGGTTACACGCGAAGAGTGACCCTGCGCAATAATGTCCTTTGGTGTGCGGCTTCTCGAGGGCCGCGGGGGGGGGGGGGGGGGGTCAACACACAGGCGCACAAGATGTTATTATTTCACCGCACGGACGATCGGGGGGCCCCAGTGGGCGCGCACCAAAGGTCCCTCCGGCGAAATGTCACCCTTGCATGACATCGTCGACACTCCTTGCGTCCAGTCGACTCTTCCCCGTGTCCGGTTTCTCGCCCCGAGCCGTCCTTCGGGACCTCGACCCTGGCGCACGAGGAGGAGGAGGCGGGGGCGGAGAGGCCCGCGCGGCCCCACGGTTGCGCCGCTGAACCTCGCCATCGCTCGGACGGCCGCTCCCCGTGCATAGTTTGTTTCTCGAGGTCGCGCATGTATTTCTTCGCAACTGGGATGGGCGCGGGGGTTGCGAAGGGGACAGTGGGGTTATCAGTGGACGCCAAAGAGGTTTTACCTGACCTAACCTAGCTTATAAATGGGTTACACATGCCCCAAGTGGCTTAGGGAGATTCGACAACTCCGCTAAGTGGGCGGAGCCCACTCTGCCTGGATCGCTATTCCCCGAGGCCACTTGTACCATCAGCGAGCCACTGAAGAGCTAGGTTAGGCCAGGTATAACACCCCTTCGGCGTCCACTGATAACATCCTATCCCCTTAGCAACCCCCGCGCCCATCCCAGAAGATGATCCACCAGGATGCTCCTCGCCGAGAAAGACATGCACGCGTCCGAGCGATACCGAAGGAACGGGGCGGCTCGCGCCGCCCCCCCCCCCCCCCCCTGCGCACGCCGCGGAGTCGACTCCCCCCCCCCCCCCCTCTCGTTGTCAGTAGGAGCTCGGCCACAGGAAACCTTCCACAGGAAACCCCGCCCTGAGACCCCAGGACGTCCATTGGTTTTTGGTGTGGGAGCGCCACGCATTTTCCATGACAGAACCAGCGAAACCCAAGAAACCCAGGGCACCCTGGAGGCAAGCAGGGCGTTGCTTGGCCTGGGTTTCCACTGTATGGCCATCTCCGCCCTCGCGGGGGCCCTCCCGGGGCCCCCGGAGGCCATCAAGCAGCGCCCCGGGCGGAACAGCCCGTCCCTGGGGGGGGAGGGGTCCGGGCCTCTGGGAGCCCACGCTGTGAACAAGAACTCGGCGGCGCGCACAAGGGGGTAGGGGGAGGGGGAAGGCTTCTTAGAAGGAGGCTGCTTCTTAGAAGGCGCCGGCCTTACATCTGTAGAAGGCCCGCGCCATCTGTAGAAGGCCCGCGCCTTCCCCCCTCCCCCCAACCCCCTCTGCGCGTGGCCGAGAACAAGAACCACGACTTCGGAGCTCTGGGGGCGACCATTGCGAAAACCACGGCGGCCTGCGGCGCTGGCGAGCGCCCCCACGCTTGCTGATGGGGGCGCGGCAGGGGAGGGTCGAGGCCTTTGGGACTCTGGGAGCCCACGCTGTGAACAATAACTACGACTTCGGAGCTCTGGGGGCGACCACTGCGAAGACCATGGCGCCGGCGAGCGCCCCGACGCTTGTGGAGGGGGGGCGGCAGGGGGAGGGCCGGCCCCCGGGTGGAGGGGAGCATTGGCTTGGCATCGGCGCTTCATCGCCCAGGGGCCGGCGACGCCGTCGATAGCGCGACCGCAGGTCCCTGGGCGGGTCGGGCTATCTTTGGCGGCGCGCACAAAGGGGGCAGGGAGGAGGGGGGAAGGCTTCTTGGAAGGAGGCTGCTTCTTAGAAGGCGCCAACCTTACATCTACAGTCAAGGCCCGCGCCTTCTAAGAAGCAGGGCTGCTTCTAAGAAGCCTCCCCCCCTCCCCCACCCCCTCTGCGCGTGGCCGATATCGGGCACGTATCGGCGCTGAGTGGGCGCTTGGGGGTCGATGCCTTCCCTCCTGAGCACATCCCCTCTCTCTCGTTACAGTCTCAGCGGTCCTGGCGCGGTGCGGCGCCAGACCGTGCGGTGACCTCGAAACTCCCACCGTCCTCACTGCACGCCTCGCCGCGGCACCGTAACACGAGGCGCGGCCGCCCGAGACGCTCGCAGAACGGCCCAGGCCCCAGGGCCAGCCACCGGGACACCCGGCTGCTCCGACTCTTTCGACGCGTGGGCCCCCGAGGTCCCAACCACTCCCATATACGGCGCCGGCTCCCGTCCCGAGCCGTTTCTTGACGGCCCCCGGGCCCGGCGAGGGCCCCCGGGGGCCGGCGAGGGCCCCCCGGGCCCCTCTCAACAATTCACGGTCCCCGGGCCCGGCGAGGGCCCCCCAGGGGCCGCAAGCAGGCCCAGACCGCCCGCTGCGGGCGCGACTCGCCACGCTGCGCTGGCGCCGCGGGAGGCCATGCGTGAACTGCCCGCCGCCGGGCGGGCCGCCCGAGAGCCCGGCGCCCGGCCACCCCGCCTGCTGGCCCCGGGGGACAGGGGCCGCGGGCAGGCGAGCTCTGGGAGCCGGGCCTTCAGGCCAGCAAGCACCAGCAGCGCAGTGGGAGCGAGGCAGACGCCGAGCGGCGTTTCTGCCCCGCCGGCCGCCGGCCTGCCCACTCCCGCCGTCTCGGCCGTTCACAGAGGGGCCCTGCCAGAGAGCCTCTGAGAGGCCTCCTCCTCCGTGGCCTCATTTTCTCGCTCTCCTTCCCCTCCTCCTCCTCGTCCTCCTCCTTCTGCTCCTCCTCCTCACCCTCCCTTTTCGCTACTGCGCGGACGAGGATCAGGTCGAGTTCACGACACGCCTCAGTGCAGAACGCTCGCTGAACTGCAACAGGGCGTGAACTCGACCTCCCCCCAACCGCGCGGACGAAGACGAGGTCGAGTTCACGACAGGTCCCAGTTCAGATCAGTCGTCGGACTTGCGCTGTTCCTACACTTCGTCTCCTTCCTGCTGCGCTGTTGAAAAGGCACGGTAGCAGGGTTTGCCGCAGACAGCTGGACAAATCTACACGCTCAGGTAAGCACAGGGGCGTTGGCTTGTATAGTGCAGCCAGTGGAGATTCACATGTGGCTGGAGCGGTCGCGAACCAGAGGCCCAAGCAAGGCATACCACGTCAAACCATCGATCCCCGATCCTTGAAGACCGAGGACGACACGGCCTTCCCTTCCTCAACTTCATCTTTCTGCCCCTTCCTGCTCATGAACCTTTGAAGGAAAAGCACGGGGAGATCCCCAGAGAAGTCCCAGGAGGTCTCCAGATGCCCAGAAGCTGTCAAACTATACGAGGGCGTCCGGAAGCCTCAAGACATTTCCCCTTTCCTCATTCTGCTGCTCCTTCTCTCTTCCTGCTTTCTCCTCCTCCTCATTCTACCTCCAAGTGCTCCTTCTGTCTTCCCCCCTCCTCATTATGCTCCTTCTTTCCTCCTGCTTTCTACTCCTCTTCATTTTCCATTCAAATGTTCCTTATTTCTTCGTCCTCTCCTTTCCTCGCATGCTGCTCCTTCTCTCTTCCTGCTCTCTTCTCCTGTGCTCCTCCCCCTCCCAGAGCTTCCTCCTCCTCCTCCTTCTCGGATCTGTCTTCTCGGAGGCAGGCCGATCCATGCTTCATGCTTCTCCTCCTCCTCCTCCTCCTCCTCCTCCTCCTCCTCCTCCTTGTTCGTTCCTCCTTTCTCCTCGCTTCCTTCTTTCCTTCTTTCCTTCTTTCCTTCCTTCCTTCCTCCTTACTCCTCCCTTCTTTCTCGCCCTTCCTTCCTTCAATCCTTCCTTCCTCCTTACTCCTCACTTTCTTCCTTCCTTCCTTCCCTCCTTGTTTGTGTCCTTCCTCCTTGTTCCTCCTCCACATCTTCCCAACACTATACCCGACAACCAACCGAACCGACAACGAAAACGAAACCGGCCGAAACCAGCAGGTCGCAAAAGGCATGGATGGGGCGCAGCGGCGCGGCAACGGCTCGCCATAGTCGACCGAATCGAACCGAACCGAACGAACGCCATCGGCTGCGACGCAGCCGCACCGACCGAACCGCGGAAACCCTTGCTTCTTTCTCCTCCTCCTTAATCCCTCCTCCTCCTTCTCCTCCTTAATCCCTCCTTCTCCTCCTCCTCCTCCTCCTCCTCCTCCCTCCTCCTCCTCCTCCTCCTCCTTAATCCTCCTCCTCCTCCTCCTCCTTAATCCCTCGTCTCGTCCGGAGGAGGTCTGGCTCTCGGGTCGCAGCTCGGGCCTCTGGTGGCAGATCGGGGGGGGGGCGACTCGGGCGCCCCGGGAACGCTCTCGACGAGGGGCGCACCTGCGGGCAGGCACCCCGATGCGCTTTGCATCCCAAGAGGAGTCGGAAACGTCCGAGGTCCCCTGGGCCTCCTCCTCCCCAGACGTGATCGCGTCGTGAAAAAGTCAGGACGGGAAATGTTCTGCCATTTTCGGCCTCGGGGGGCCCTCGCCGGGTCTCGGGAGCGAAACAAAAACTACTCAGGCTGAAGAACCGGTCCCGGGGCAAGGGTCGGGACTTCCGGGGGCCCTGTATCGACGAGAATCAGGGCGTCGCATGTCTGGGATCTCTCGTCGTGCTTCCGGTGCAGGCGCGCGCTGACACGAGCTCTGGCGACGCGCACGCGGGGGCGACGCGAGGGGGGAGGCCTTCTGCGATGGCGGTGGGGCTTCTCAGAAGGCAGGGGGGCTTCTGAGATAGACGCCTTCTTAAAGGGCCCCCACAGCCTTCTAAGAAGGCCCCCGCCTTCTCAGACCCCCCCCCCCGCCGCCTAGTTGCTTCGGAACTCGCGCCCCTCGCGCCGAGCTCCTCCTTCTCTGTGAGGAGGGGGGCGATCGGGCGGCACTAGCTCAGGGGGGAAATATCGACCTGGAATCGGCGAAACATGGCCGATTTTTGGCGATAGACCCCTGGTAGCGAAACGGGACGTTCCCGATGGGCTATCAAGCGCCCATCGGTGATCAGTGGGCGATCAGGAGACGATGCCTCCCACCTCGTGAGCCGATCCCCCCCTGTCGTTGCCCCTGACTTTCCCACCCCCCCTCCCCCTGTCGTTGCCCCTGACTTTTCCGCGCCTTTCCCACGCTCCCTCGCGTCACCCCCTTCTGCTCGACGTCGTGCCTTTCTCGCAGAGATCCGTGTCCCTACCCCCGGGGCTGGCCTCTCCTTCCGAGTCGCTCCGCAGCCAGTCCCAGAGCCCTGCGCGCGAGGGCCCCAGAGACCGCAACATCATGTCACGCCAACCTCCCGTCCATCCCTTGCCTTCACGGCGAACGGAGACGAGGACTCCGATGCGGGCGCGCGCCGACACGAGCTCCCCCTCCCTTCGACTGCAGTCGGGGCGTTGACCTAAGGAACCCTAAATAAGGAACGAGGCCCCTTTTTTCCATAAGTTAAACTTCGATTTCCGGTCGAAAACAGAAGGAGAGCCTGAGGCAAGCTGTGAAACACTTAAGGAACGCGGAGCCCCTCCCCAACGAAAAGGGTTCCTTCTTCAGGGCCCCGACTGTGCGCGCAAGAGTGACCCTGGGTAAGAATGCCTTTTGGCGCGCGGCTTTTTGAAGGCCGCGGGGGGAACGAACACCAGCGCACAAGCCGCTACCACCTCACCGCGCGCGACGACGGGGGGGGCCCCAGTGGGCGCGCACCAAATGTCACTCCGGCGCAAGGTCACTGTTGCGTGTATACGTGTAGTCGATCCTTTCGCACGCCTCGTCCGTGCTCTGCGTTGTCACTCCTCGCCGACCGCGGCCGCGGCCGGCGGCGCGGGGGCCGGCAACATGGGCTGCAGCGCCCGGAACGCCCGGCTGGCCATCTCGGCGCAGCCTGCCGCGAGGAGGGGGGTGGACAGCCTGCCGTCGATGGCTGATACAAAGTTGGGTGAATCATGCTCCGTCGATTGCTGAAGCTGCTGCAATGTCAGGGGCTGCAGGCAGGACGTGAGACGGATGGTGCCGCTCTCTGTTCCGTAGCTTCTCGTGCTCGAGGCTCAGGCATGTGCACGGACGCTCCAGCATGTCCGAGCGGTCCCTTCGCCGAGCGAGGCTAGCGAAAGAACACCTGTCCTTTCTCACGGTGTCGCAAGGAGTTCTGGCACACCTCCTCTCGCCACGAGCACAAATCACGACGGGGTGGTTTTGCAATTTTCGGCCTCGGGGGGCCCCCACTGGACCTCGGGACCGTCAGAAAACGACTCACGGGATGGAAAGCTGGTCCTGGGGAAGGGGTCCAAATCTCTGGGGGCCCACGCGCCCACGCTGTGAAAAAAGCAATTGCGTCTGAGTTCTGGGACGCAGGAGGACGAGGAGAGGCGGATAACCTACTCCGACGATGCGTTTTTTTGGATCCCTGCGTTTTCAAGATTCCGGCCCCATGCCCCGGGGCAAGCAATAACCCTAGAGCAGAGCAGGAGCAGGAGCAGGAGGAGGAGGAGGAGGAGGAGGAGGAGGAGGAGCAGGAGGAGGAGAGGAGGAGGAGCAGGAGGAGGAGGAGAAAGAGGAGGAGGAGGAGGAGGAGGAGGAGGAGGAAGAGGAAGAGGAGCAGTGCCGTCCCGAATGGGCTGGAGGCTCGGGCAGAGAGTGCATCGCTGCTCTAGCAGCGGGTGGTCTCCTCCCCCAAGTTCTTCGGCTCGGCCCTAGCTAGATGCCTCGTCTTGTGTAGTTTTGGCGGGCTCGTGTTTGACATGGAAGTGGAAGACTGGTCGGATGAATAAGGAGTGCGGCAGGGTGGATGAGGAGGAGGAGGAGGATGACGACGGGGAATGTCTTGGAATGTCCTGGTCGCAACAGTTTACGTGGTACAGGGCATTCCCCAAGAGCGCCATGAGAGATCCGACGACCTTGGTCTCGCTGTGTGCGGCTGGAGGCGGCTTTCAATCCAGGAGTTGCTGAGCCTCATCTGCAGAAGGGGAGGGGAGGACGTGGATGAGGCGGAGGAGGAGGAGGAGGAGGAGCAGAAGGATGACGAGGAGGAGGGTGGGAGTAGGCCCGAGGGCGAGAAGCAAGGGCAGGCGAGCCTTTGTTCAGAAGAAGGGCGGGCAAAGGGAGACTACACGAGTGGGGGTGGGGTGGGGGGGGGGGAAGGGGGGGGGACGTGGAGTCGTGCCGCCCACCCTGGCCGTCGAGCTCGTTTTCCTGAGCTGCCTCGTGAACATCGCTTGGGGGGAAAGGATGGCACGGTAGCTGCAAGCCAATAGCCAACGGAGCCTGCAATGCCATCTGTGGGGCCCTTGGCCTTACCTGGCGCTGGCTTTTGGCCAATCTTGAGGCTTCTCCCAGCGGGTGCGGATTGTTATGGAGGCCTCCTGCTGTCGTGTTCTCCGGGCTTCGGCCCCCCAAGCCGTCGCGTCTGGATGCAGCTCGAGAAAACAGCTAATGATTGCCCCCACGATGGGTCGAGACACCGTTTTGGAGCGGATATGCAAAGGGGGAGGATGACCGAAGTTGTTGGACGTTCCTGGGCCTTTTTGGGTTGGGTTCCTCCTCCTACTACTTCTCCTCCCCCTGCTCTTCCTCCTCCTCCTCCTTCTCTTCCCTCCTTCTCCTCTGCTTCCTCCTCTTCCTCCTCCGCCCTCCCTCTCCTCGTCCTCCTCTTCCCTCGTCGCCCTCGTCGTCTTTATTCGCTCTCTTCCTCATCCTCTTGATGGGCCCTCGACCTCGCTGGCCCTCGCTTCTGGAAGGCCAGAGGCTCGGTCGCGCGCGCAAGCACACATACGCTCGCCGTCATCCACCGCCTCCTCTTCCAACGGACAAGCAATGACGCTACCGAGGAACCCCACATACTTATATTATGGCTGGAGTGATGATAGCTGAAAAGAAGCATGTGAGAATGATGTTGGTGGCCGTTCCCTGCGCGCCCCCTCTGATGTCGAGAAAATGGCACGCCTGCTGCGCCGTGCGAGCCTGCAACGGATAGAGACCGCACCCCACGCGCACCCCCCTCTGTTATCGAGACTTTGCCATGCCTGCCGCGCCCTGCGCGCCTGCAACGCATAGAGACCGCACCCCCTGTGCACCCCCTCTGGTGTCGAGAATTCCCACGCCTGCCATGCCCTGCGCGCCTGCAACGCATAGAGACCGCACCCCCTGCGCACCCTCCTGGTGTCGAGAAAATGCCGCGCCTGCCGTGCCCTGCGCGCCTGCAACGCATAGAGACCGCACCCCCTGTTCACCCCCTCTGGTGTCGAGAATTCCCACGCCTGCCGCGCCCTGCGCGCCTGCAGCGCATAGAGACCGCACCCCCTGCGCACCCTCCTGGTGTCGAGAAAATGCCGCGCCTGCCGTGCCCTGCGCGCTTGCAGCGCATAGAGACCGCACCCCCTGTTCACCCCCTCTGGTGTCGAGAAAGTGCCACGCCTGCCGCGCCCTGCGCGCCTGCAACGCATAGAGACCGCACCCCCTGTGTACCCTCCTGGTGTCGAGAAAGTGCCGCGCCTGCCGTGCCCGCGCCTGCAACGCATAGAGACCGCACCCCCTGGGCACCCTCGTGGTGTCGAGAAAATGCCACGCCTGCCGTGCCTTGCGCGCCTGCAACGCATAGAGACCGCACCCCCTGTGCACCCCCTCTGGTGTCGAGAAAGTGCCACGCCTGCCGCGCCCTGCGCGCCTGCAGCGCATAGAGACCGCACCCCCTGCGCACCCTTCCGGTGTCGAGAAGATGCCGCGCCTGCCGTGCCCTGCGCGCCTGCAGCGCGTAGAGACCGCACCCCCTGTTCACCCACCCTGGTGTCGAGAATTCCCACGCCTGCCGCGCCCTGCGCGCCTGCAACGCATAGAGACCGCACCCCCTGCGCACCCTCCTGGTGTTGAGAAAATGCCGCGCCTGCCGTGCCCTGCGCGCCTGCAACGCATAGAGACCGCACCCCCTGTGCACCCCTTCTGGTGTCGAGAAAGTGCCACGCCTGCCGCGCCCTGCGCGCCTGCAACGCATAGAGACCGCACCCCCTGCGCACCCTCCTGGTGTCGAGAAAGTGCCGCGCCTGCCGTGCCCTGCGCGCCTGCAACGCGTAGAGACCGCACCCCCTGTGCTCCCCCTCTGGTGTCGAGAAAGTGCCGCGCCTACCGTGCCTTGCGCGCCTGCAACGCATAGAGACCGCACCCCCTGCGCACCCTCCTGGTGTCGAGAAAGTGCCGCGCCTGCCGTGCCCTGCGCGCCTGCAACGCATAGACCGCGCCCGATGTGCACCCCCTCCGGTGGCAGTGCTGTGAGGAGGAGGGGAGGTGTGAGGTGAGACGCGGGTGCGACGCGGCAGGTGTGAGGTGAGACGCGGGTGCGCCGCGGCAGGGAAGAAAACCATAACCCCACGAAACATGTGGGGAAAAAGCATACACATCGGGATCCCCTATATTTTCTAAGTTTTTTTCTGGGGGTCAGTCTTCCCCCCACTTCCTACATGTTCTCATGTTTCCTGGGGAATCGATGGTTCAAGGCCGCTCGGAGAATCATGGGGGCTCTCCCAGTGCCGCAGGAGCGCCGCCAGGGCCTCTCGGATCGCCAGGCCTCTCTCAAAGCACCGCACCGCCTCCCTCAGAGCCAGGGGGGGGGGGGGGGGGGGGGGGCGAGGTCGGAATACACATCAGGCAAGCGAACCTTCGGCGGTGTAGTGGACTCCGTCCTTGGAAAGCCCGACGTCCAACGCCTCCAGGTCCACCAGAAACCGCCGCGGCTGCGGGCGGGAGGGAGGGTCTCTCTCTCTCTCTCTCGTTCTCGCTTTCTTCTCTTCCTCTATGTGTAATTAAATTGCTAGGTGTACTAGTATTACTATGTTTGTTCCCAGGTATACTACTATGTATGTTGATATTTATGTGTCTAATGATATGACTACGTCAATGTAAGTTACATATCTGTATGTATGTTTACATGTGTCCCTAGGCATGCTTATGTTTATATTCCTGATTATATATATATATGTATATATATATATATGTATATATGTGAAAGCAGCTCTCTGTTAGTGAATATATATATATATGTATATATATAAACATTGTGTACACGTATAGTATGATTATGTTTCTATGTAGAGGTATTGTTGTTGTCTGTTTAGATTTCGTGAACTTCTACGTCTACGCTTTTTTTTCTATGTGTGCTTCTGTTTGTATGGGTCTGTGTATGCCTATGCCTATCATGCTTATTGTTCCTATTGCTACTCCCATCTACGTGTATGTCATTATGTACTTGTTACTTGTGTGTGCACTCATGCTTCTGTGTCAGTTTCTACTGCGAATAGTATTGGCTAGCCATATTCATAATTCGATTTCGATGATCACTAATATTTCTATTTGAATTTCTAAACGTATTTCAATGTTCTAGCGATGTCTGTTTGAATGTCTACTTCCATTTCTATTGGTTGGTCTATTTCTAGATCGATTTCTATGCATATATCTGTTCCCAATGATAGTTATATGTCTATTGCTACTGTTATTGCTACAGCTACTTCTCTTGATATATGTGTTTCTACTTCGACTTCTATTTCAATGCTTTTCTTCGCTCTCTCTCTCTGTCTCTCTCCTCATCTCTCTCTTCAAAGACGAAGCCACAATGAAGAGCAAGTCGGGTATAGGCGAAGCGGGGATCTCTGAGAGCCAGCGGGGGGTCTGGCGTTCCGGAACGCTCTGGGGCGATTCATCCTCGTCCCTGACCTGCCTGGTCTATGCCGCGGCCCGCTCCGCCAGAGAAACACACACTGACACGAGCACGAACATGTTCGGAGGACCGAGCGGACCTCCGAAAGCTTGGCCCTTGTGAAATTAGTCGTTTCTCCTTCGATGCCGCCCAGGCGTCGGAGGAGAATTTCGTCTTAGGGAAGCCCCACTGGGGTTCGGAATTCGAAGGATGCCTGCCTCCAAGTCAGCGACAATCATGGGGTCTTACCCGAGACGGCCTAGCGACCTTACTTACGCGACCGCTTACGCGGGCCGCCAGCGCGGCACGCTACATTGGAGACGAGGGCGCTCACGCGCGATCTTACGCGGTCAGCTTAAGCGCCAATGTCGGCGCAAAGGTCTCCGTTTTTTTTGCGCTGCTCGGGTGAACTCCAGCTGGGGAGTCCGATACTCCAACGTCGAGTGTGCCCGTAAGGGGTAGGGTTTGCCAGTGGCCGCAGATTCCAGGCCGGCGGGGGCGCGACCCAGCTGCCGGCGAGCCATCTTGGGAGGCCCCTCCTCCCTCCACTTCCTCCTCTTTCTGCTTCTTCCTCCTCGTCCCTCCTCCTCCTCCTCCTCCTCCTCCTCCTTCCTCCTCCTCCTCCTCCTCTTTTTCCTCCTCGTCCTTCCTCCTCCTCTCTCCCCCTACTCCTCCCTCTCCTCCTCCCTCCTCGCCCTCGTCCTCCTCCCCTCCCTCCCTCCTCATCCTCCTCCTTCGCCTGCTCCGTGGTCCAGCGCGATGTTGCAGGTGGCGCCGCAGCCTGTCGACACGTGATGTGCGGTGCGCAGGGCCGCGTGGCACCACTGGCGCTTGAGCGACGAAAAGAAACGGGTCCTACGCGAGGCCGTACGCGGCGGCTTCTGCGGGCCGCCGGCGCGGCACGCCAACACTGGAAGCGAGGGCGCTCACTGGCCATCTTGCGCAGGCAGCTTGTGCGCGAGTGTCCGTGCACGTGAAGCCGTTCCCCAGCGTCGCTCACTCGGGGTCCGTCTCAAGGCTCCACCAGGTTCACCTCGTGGCCCCCCTCGCGGCACAGAGCAGGCAAATGCCCCAGCGCGAGGCGGCTCCAGCGTTGGAGGGCGCCTCGAAGCCTGGAGCTCGAGAGGAGCTTGAGTCGAGCCAGGGTTGAAATGGAGGCAGGCTGGGCTCGAACTGGAGTGGAACGGATCTCGGGCAGGTGGTCCCCCGGCGTCGCGGTTTCCTCATGACGTCGACCCCCAAAGGCCTCGACCCACTCCCAAGGACGGGCTTCTCGCCCCGAGCCGCTCTTGACCCCCCCCCCCGGGGCCCGGTCAGGGCCCCCCCCCCCAGAGGGCTCCCGTCGTGAGTTTGTCGCGACTCGACGAAGGGTAAGACGAAGCCAGGACGAGGTTACACTCGGGTGAGGATAGATCGAGGATCTCCGGGATCCGGCGGCTCCGCAAGAGATGTCTCGGGCGTTGCGACCTTCGGAGCGTTCCAGCGTTCCGGAACGCTCTGGAATGGACATGCTGTAGGAGCTCGACCACAAGAACCCTTCCACCAGAAAGCCGACCCTGAGACCCCTGGACGTCCACTGATGTTTCGGGTGGGCACGTCACGCTCTCCATCGCAGGACCATCGAAACACAAGACACCCGACCCTGAGATCCCCGGACGTCCATAGATTTTTGGGGTGGGCACGTCACGCTTTCCATCGCAGGACCCTCGAAACACAAGACACCCAGGGCACCCTGGAGGCAGGCGGGGTGCTTCTTGGCATAGGCTTCCACTGCAGAGCCGGCCGCTCCTCCACGGCGGGAGCCCCGCCGCCCCGGGCGCGGCCCGCGGGGTACACTGCCCGGCGGTCATGGTTGCGTGTGCGGTGGCAGCGGGGGGCAGGCCCCCGCGGCGCCCGCGGGCGTGCGCGCGGCAGCACGCGAGCGCACCCGCGTGCAGAGCTGCCCTGCTATGCGGGCTTTTCGGGCCGGGCGAAAGGGTGGGATGGCAAAAAGGGGGGTTTGAGAATCAGCTCACGTAGCTGACTTTCCCGGCGCCTCCCGGCGCCGGGAGGCGCCCATGTACCGAGAAATGGGCCTCTCGGTGGGGCCGAAACCAGGGGCATGCCGCAGATTTCGTACCCCCCCCTTTCCCAATCCCCCCCTTTCGTTCGGCCCGAGCCTTGGACGCCCCAAGTGGACGCCACACGTGGACCTCACGAGTCCCTTCAAAGCGTCCATGCAGAGCGTCTCCCACAGGCGCTTCGCGCGCTCTCGTCGCCCACCTGCCCTCGCAGGCGGAGTGCACGCCAGGGGCACAGGCTCGGCCGCGGGAGGCCGCTCGCCGCGCAGGCAGGGCTCCCTCCCCCGGCCGTCGCCCTACGGGGCCGCGAACTGGTGGTCCTCGACGTTGTTCCTCCTCCTCCCCCTCCTCCGCCGCCGCCTCCTCCTCCTCCTGCTCCTGCTCCTCCTCCTCCTCCTGCTCCTCCTCCTCCTGCTCCTCCTCATCCTCCTCCTCTTCCTCCTGCTCCTGCTCTCCTCCTCCTCCTCCGCCTCCTCCTCCTCATCCTCTGCAGTAACGGCTGATCCTTCCCCTCTCTGTTCTAACGTCGCAACTTCCTCCACCTGCCCTTCCTCCTTCTCCCTCTTGTCCCGCTCCAGTCTTCAATTCCACTCTGTTCGGCCCTCGCCCTCATCGTCCTCCTGGTCCTCTCCTCCTCCCCTTTCCTCCTCATACGATTTGGTGATCGCGCTTTCAACGTCGCGAGCTTTGAGATGAGTGCTTGCTGTCGAACGCACTGTCGTCGTATCGTAAGGGAAGGTGGAGAGATGCAGGGGGAACGTGGAGGACGATGATGATGATGGTGCTGATTATGGTGTTGATGATGATGATGATGCTGATGATGATGATGATGATGATGGTGGTGGTGGTGGTGATGATGATGATGATGAGGAGGAGGAGGAGGAGCAGAAGGAGGAGGAGGAGGAGGAGGATGAGGGGGGGAAGGAGGAGGAGATGGAGGACGGGGAACATCATGAAGAGGATGACGAACATACTTATCAAGAGGAGGAAGAAGAAGAACAAGAGGAGGCGGAAGAGGATTTTCCGTGCGCCGCTTCTGGACAGCCGTGCAAGAAGACACTAGACAAATACAGCAATGACGACAATGTCCAAAGGTCTTTGCAATGACCAATTTCGAAGTCTCACACGCACAAACAACACTGCCCAGGGCCGATTCGACCAGACAAGCAACAATGCTGGAGCATTTGCAGGGCACGCTGTCACACAGAGTTCAATGATGCCAGTGAAGAAGTCGGCGACGCACGACCTTGCGAAGAAGGTGGCGGGAGAAGGATGGGAAGGGAAGAAGAGAGAGAGAGAGAGAGAGCTGAGAGAGAGAGAGAGAGAGAGATGAGGATGATGAGGAAGAGGACGAGGGAGGACGCGCTGGGGGAAAAGGGCAGGCTTGAGGCGGGGCTGGAGGACTGTTTTGGTTTCCGAAGCAAGCTCTGGAATCCGAGAAAATTTGTGATGTCCGAAAAGGAGGGGGGGGGAAGGGGGGGGCGAGGCAGAAGAACACAACTTAAACATCAACTGCCAGAAGCCCGCGAGGACTTCTCGGATCCGCGCTGGGCCCATCCCTGCCGGCGCCGCCCCCGACGCGCTCCGCGCGAAAGGCAGGAGGTCCAGCGCCGATCCCAGAAATCAGCGCGGCCCTCCGACAGCCTGCTCTGGATGTCATACGTAGTTCACATGCCCAGGCCCGCATCGGGTCTGGCGCCCCTCCTCCTGCCACCTCCTGCCACCTGCTGCACCCTCCCCCTTTTCATGCCACCTCCACCTCCACCTCCTCCTCCTCCTCCTCCGCCTCCTCCTCCTCCTCCTCCTCCTACTCCTCCTCCTCCGCCTCCGCCTCCTCCTCCTCCTCCTCCTCTTCCTCCTCCTCCTTCTCCCCCATGCCTTTTCCTTATAAACAACTCCTCCCTGTCACACCCCGAGACCAGTCGAAAGGGAGCGAGACTGGAACTGTCTGGGCGGTTTCTGGGTGTCTGGGCAGAGAGCCGTCCTTTCATGACCGGCCTGGGGTCGAAAACTGCATGTCTGGAGGGGTCGCGACCCCCCTCTCATGATGGCATCCAGTTGCTAGCATGTCGTGTTCTCATATTGGACGGAAGCTTGCAGCCGCCCGCGCCTGCTGACACAGGCTGCGCAAGCCTCGGTTGACCTCCAGCCTGGTGCGGTCTCGCTGTCCAAGCCTCCCCTCCGCGACAAGGAGGGACGAGGTGCAGGAGGAGCAGGACGGCGATGAGTAGGACGAGCAACACGATTAGCTGTGGAGGATGGTGACGAGGGGAAAAAGAGAAAGGAAGACACGGAGGAGGACGAGGCACGGCACGTTCCGCGAGGGGCGGCAACTGGAAAGGTAGATGGTGAAGCAAGACATCCAGGGTACTGACCATCGGCGCAGACGACATCAAACATCACCGCGGTGGCAATGCTTCGTCAGATAGTGCAATACTTCCTCTCCGTCTCCCTTCCCCTCCATCCTCCCCCCTTAAAGAGTCTCACCTATCACGCAGGCGAGAGCCCCGTTTAGAAGAGGACCTTCCCCCCATCCATGTGACCATAGCGCAAATTCTGCATTCGAGGGAGTCTCATGCGAGTGATCAGTGTTGAAGAACCCAGCGCGACACCAATTAGGGGCCTTGCCTTTCCCAAAACAACTAAAACAACACATCTGGGTAATAGGAAACAGCGCGGTGCAAGGCACTGCTTGGCGTTGTTTGGAGTCCTTGCTCGGCATTGTTTTGAGTTGCTTGGCGTCGCTTGGCATCGCTTGGGATTGCTTGGACTTGCTCGGCATTGCTGGGGCCACCCCGGGCAGCCCCCCCGCAACCTCGAGATCACCCGGGCAACCCCGAACACCCACGCAACCCCCGTGCACGCCTTGGGAGAACGCCGAACTCTGCCTCTGACGAAAGATGCTCACCCACAAGAGTTTCTCCACGACACGCTCGGGACCCTTCAAGCTTCCGGCGAAACCGAACGGGAGGAAAAACGGACCGCCCTCCATTCGTGCAGCTGCAACATACGTGCAAGCTTCTGGCCTTGCATTTCCACGGGAGCGAACCCCATGTTGAAACAACACCGTCCTCCATCCATGTAGCAATTGTAGACAGTTTCAACTGGTATTACTACTTGTTGACAAAGTCCCAAGGGAATGTTTCATTTTGAATAAGAGCTGGCATCCGTCCACAACACCGCACTTGTTAGAGTGTATGTGTTGAAGAAATACCAAACGAGAGATCCATCTTGAAAGCGCACTGGCCTTGATCCGTGTAGCCACTGCAAATTTTCAACGCATGTGCGCGGACCTAGATGGAAAACCCCATTTCGAAAAGGACAGTGCCTTCATCCGCGTAGCTGCCGAATGCTTTACAACAACGAATGCGCGCGGCGCTAAGGCGAGAATCCCGTGTTGACAAAGACCTGGCCTCCATCCGTGCTCCTGTTACAAGCTTGCAGGACGAAGTGAGCATCGAGAGGAAAAGAAGGAGGATGAGGCTCCTGTGCCAGTTCCGGAAAGCTGCCCGACTCGGTGCGAAGAGGGGGAGGAGGAGGAGGAGGAGGAAGAGGAGGAGGATGAGGACGGGAGGGAGTAGGAGTAGGAATAGGAGTAGGAGTCAAGTTAGTCAGCTCGAGCGAGACATGCATGGCATGCCCATTCTCGCCCGCCGTCCCACAACATAAGAAGCAACGCTGGCACAACCAGGAGCCGAGATCACATCGGCGAGCTGGTTTGGCACAGCTGATGCGGCCGCGACAGCGGTTACCGATGGGAGCTCCCCAGCTTGTCTGAAAAAGGCTGCGCGGGCAGTTCTGCACGAGCCGAGGATGCCCCAAGAGGACCCAGAAGTTTCAAGAGGGCCCCAGGAAGCCCCAGGATGTTTCAGGACACCCCAGAGAGCCCCAGGAGGCTCCAGGAGTCCCCTGAAGGCCCCAGCGAGTCCTTCCCCAGGAGGCCCCAGGAAGGCCCCGGCAGAATTCTTGCGGCCACGATTGCGGTGGCCGATGGGAACTGGCCCAACGCGTCTCAAAAGGCCGCGCCAGCGCGCAAGCACCTCGGTGCAGGTCGGTGACTCGGGCGGGCGCGATGGCATCATGACGTCGACCACTGGGCGACATGATGAGGAGGGCGGTGACCCGCGATGATGGCGACAACGACGGCATGGCCAGCGACGGTGCCGATGATGGCGACGACTCTGGAAAGATTGGACATGCGCTCGCGGCGACGCGCGCGCATGTCGCCCGCGTGGTATTTTTGTTGCATCAACTTCGCACCCTGGGTGCATAACAAAGCATCGCGAGTGCACCACGCGGCGTGATGAGATCGCTGGTTTTTTTAAATTAGGATTTCAGAAACTGCACGCGGGCAAGACTTAATATTTGTAATGAAAACATTGTGTTGTCATTATGTTATTATTTTGAAATGCTTACACGCACAGTGTGTATGTGTGTGTGTTGTCAGGATTTTGACATGAACGCGCGCGTGTGCACGTTGCGGATTTTTTGGCAAGAGATTATCGACGTGGACGACAGGACGTCCATGTTGAGAGGGAAAATGATGAAACATGTTGACTTTATATGACTTTTGTAGGTTAGGATGGAACGTCCTGGATGGGGCGGCTATCGGCCGGGGAGAGGGGGGAGTATGAGTATATTCTAGTAAGGTATAAGGATAGGAGTAGGAGTAGGAGTAGGAGTAGGAGTAAGAGGAGGAGAAGGAGGAGGAGGAGGAGGAGGAGGAGGAGGAAAAGGAAAAGGAGGAGGAGGAAAGACATGGAGGTCGAGGAGGCGGTGGAGGAGGATATCCACAACATGCCCTTCCCCCCCGGCGCCCCTCCCCCTGGCGGGCGGCACGGTCACGACGCCCACCGCTGGCGAGCTCGGAGCCGCGCTGGCGACCCCGTGCAGGTGCCTCAGGCGCGCGAGGATGCCGTGCGGGCCGCCTGGGCGCGCCGAACTCCCTGCAAAAGCCCCCGCCCCCCGGAGCAGGAGCAGGAGCAGGATGAGGCGGAGGAGGAGGAGGCGGAGGCGGAGGAGGAGGAGGAGGAGGAGGTGGAGGAGGGGTACTATAAGAAGGATGGGGTGTCGGAGGAGGAGGGAGAGGAGGAGGAAGTCCTCCTCCCCCTCCTCCCCCTCCTCCTCCTCCTCCTCCTCCTCCTCCTCCTCATCCTTGGCGTCCTTCCTTCTCCCCCTCCTCCCGCCCCCCCCGCCGCATCCAAGGTCCACCACGGACGAGGGCCGAGGCCGGTGCCCCACGCAGCCCAAGGCCTCCCGAGCGAGACGCCCTTTTGGCCGCTGGAGGGTGGGCGGACGGCGGGCGATCGGAGGGTGGGCCGACGGCGGGCCCACATATCCCCGACGCGAGCACACACCGATCTTCGGCCCAGCGTGGGCCGGGGCTTCGTACAGTGGAACCCCATGCCAGGAAGCACCCTGTTTGCCTCCAGGGTGCCCTGGGTCTCTCTTTTGGGTTTCGATGGTTTTGCTGCGAAGAGCGTGACGCTCCCACACCAAGAATCCATAGACATCCTGGGGTCTCAGGGTTGGACTTCGGGTGGGAGGTTTCTTGTGGTCGAGCTCCCACTGTACAGTCATCGTGCTTCCACGTTCTACGTCGCAGCGCGGCAGAGGAAGTCCGCACGCGCGCTCGGGCAAGCCAACATCATCGTGCTTCCACAGGGAGCGCCACAGAAAGAACGAAGGAGCTCTTCTAGCCACGGCGGGCCTCGGCCGCGAACAGACTCCCCGACCCAGATCTAAGGCACGGCCCAACAGCCCGACCCCCTCCCGAGCCCAAAGGGGCCCTCATTTCTGCGCCTTGACTCTGAGGTGCCCCGGCAACTCGCCAACTGGAGGCCTCAAAACTGGTAGTCTCCGACGCCATGTCTTGTTCACCACGGCGACCCCCGAAGGTCCCGACCCCTTCCCCGGCATCGGCTCTTCCACCCGAGCATCGTCTTCTTGCCCGCCCCTGGGGACTGGCCAGGGCCCCAGGGAGGCCGAGACTTGCCATCACACATATATCCGGGCGTGTGGTGGGAGGAGGCGGCCTCCCTCGCCTCGCAGGACGTCGTTGGTGCCCCCCAGCACGAGCACGAAGTCCACGCGCACGCCTTGCCCCGCCAGCTGCGATAACACCTTCGGCAGCCTGGCGCGGCCGTGGCTGCCGCGCCCGGCGAGGCCGTCAACCGCTCCGCCGCCGCCTCCTCCCCTCCCCCTCCTCCTCCTATTCCTCCTCCTTCTTCTCCTTCTCCTTCTCCTTCTCCTTCTCTTTCTCCTTCTCCTTCTCCTCCTTCTCCTTCTCCTCCTCCTCCTTCTTCTCCTCCTTCTCCTCCTCCTTCTCCTCCTCCTCCTTCTCCTTCTCCTTCTCCTTCTCCTTCGCCTTCTCCTTCTCCTTCTCCTTCTCCTTCTCCTTCTCTTCTTCCTTCTCCTTTTCCTCCTCTTTCTCCTCCGCCTCCTCCTTCCCTTCTTCTTTCTCATTCATCTTCTCCACCTCCTTCTTTTTCCTTCTCCTCCCACCCTCCCTGCCTTCCTCCTCCCCCCTCCTCCCGCCGCTCTCGCTCCCTCGCCCCCCCCCCCCTCCCGCCCTCTTCCCCCCTCTCGCCTCCCCTTTCGCACCGCCACCAGGGCCCTCCCCCCGTTTCCAGCCCCCCGCCCTCTCCCGTCACCGAGGCGGCCGTCGAAGCCGAGGCGGCGGTCGCAATTCTTGTTCGAGCCAGGCGTCCAGGGCCCTCCCTCACAGATCGATCCAGCTCGAAGAATGGCGCAGAAAGACGGGGTCCGGGGCTCTGGTCGCGATTTTTGGCGATGTTGTGTTTTTTTTTTCGGGACAACGGATCTCAGGGGTGGTCAGGAAGTGCTCGCCAGCGCCCAGCATGGCTGGAGAACAGACGCGTCCTCCTCTCCCCCTCCTCCTCCTCCTCCTCTTCCTCCTCCTCCTCGCCTTCTCCTCCTCCTCCTCCTCCTCCTCTTCTCCTCCTCCTCCTCCTCGTTCTCCCCCTCCTTCTCCTCCTCCTCCTCTTCCTCCTGTTTTTTCTCCCCCACCCCCCTCCTCGGGCTCCTCGTCCCCCCCCTCGTCCTCTCCTCCTCCTCCTCCTCCCCTCCTCCTCCTCCTCCTCCTCCTCCTCCTCCTCCTCCTCCCCCTCCTCCTCCTCCTCCTCCTCCTCCTCCTCTCCTCCTGCTACTGCCTCTCCTCCTCCTCCTCCTCCTCTTCCTCCTCCTCCTCCTCCTCCTTCTCCTCCTCCTCGCTCTCCCTCTGTCGAGCCCCTCCCCCCATCTCTCTCTCGAGCCCCTCCTCCTCCTCCTCCTCCTCCTGTGAATCTGGCCGGAGCAACTTAACTGGAGCTGGCCGAATATCGACTGGGACCCTCGCAGGGCTGCCTCTGATGTTTGGGTAGCTCCAGAAACACTGAATCCAAACATGTGGACTTGACATGGAGCAAACGGATCCTGAGAGACACGGATCTTGCACGCGGGTTCTTTCCCCCGAGACCAGCTGCTCGTCCTGCGTTGTTTGTCTGACATTTTGGGGCCCATGGATGGCCACATGAGGCCAAACATAACGAACAACTCCAGGGCTTGCTTCCCTCAGGTCGAAGGGCCCAGGGCCACGCAAATAATTAGATAAACACAACTCCCAGACTCCCGCATCTCTTCCAATCTTCTGGATGCTCATCGCCCCCCCCCACTTCCCATAATATCCACATCTTCCTGGTCATCGGCGATTCTTTGTGTCTGCGTGGTGTTCCCCCTCCTGGATCAGGCCCCCGTCTGCTCCATCACGAAATCTGCGTCTCCTCTTTGCTCCCGCCGCCTTCCGCCGGCGGGCCCGCTTGCACTGCTCTCGTCTGCAGACCCCTGGTGCGGGAGCGTCCAGGATAGAGGCCTCCCGACTGGGGTCCGAGCAGGTGGGGTCGGAGGATCACGCCGCATCGCGCGTGCATCGCCGATGTATATCGGGGGCGCCGGCGTGGAGAAAGTCGGGCTCCACATCGAGCTGCCTGCCAGGTGCATCGGCGATGCGGTTCGACCCACCGACCCCATCTGCGCGGACCCCATGTGGCAGGGCAAGAGGGGAGCGTTCAAGAGGCGGGGTCGCAGATCATGGCCCGAGGCAGGTGCGCGGACGAGGGAGGGGGAGGAGGAGGAGGAGGAGGAGGAGAGGAGGAGGAGGAGGAGGAGGAGGAGGAGGAGGAGGAGGAGGAGGAGGGAGGAGGAGGAGGAGGGAGGAGGAGGAGGAGGAGGAGGGGGAGGAGGAGGAGGGGAGGAGGAGGAGGAGGAGCGAACGAACCCCAAAGGAGGAGGAGGAGGAGGAGGAGGAGGAGGAGGAGGAGGAGGAGGAGGAGGAGGAGGAGGGGGAGGAGGAGGAGGAGGAGGAGGAGGAGGAGGAGAGATGTGTTGAAAAGAAGATGGGACCACGAAGCCCAGGGAGACAGCATGACCCCGGCCATGATATCCACACACCCCTAGTGCTCACCCCCCTCTCAGACGGCCCCCGGCTGAAAACCGCCAGGCAAAATTCCGCCGTGGCCCTCGCAGAGCCCCCCTGACCATCTATCGCGCCACAGGGCCCGGAAGGACGCAGAAAATGCTCCCCAGAGTACCAAAGTAAAAAGAGATCATCAACATGTTTGGCTCGGGTGTGGGCAGAAATCGGCCCCGCGCGAGCGCCGGCGCGGCCTGACCGCCATGTGGCCAGTGGTGTCCCCCCAGTTGCCCGCGTTGTGCACCTGCCCGCCCGCCCATCCCTTGAGGTTCGAGGAGGATCGAGGCTCCAGGCTCGAGGCTCGCGGATCGATGTGCGAAGATCGATTTTGGCGGGGCGTTTCTGGCTCGCTTGGGACCCCTGGAAGCCTCGGGAAAGATCAGTCATCACCAAATCGAGAAGCCGGATCGAATCGGAACGTGCAACGCCGTGCACAATGCAATTTTGGCGGCGCGCACGAGGGGGTAGGCGGAGGGGGGAAGGCTTCTCAGACGCAGGCTGCTTCTTAGAAGGAGGCGGCCCCAGATCCACAGACAGGGCCCACTTCTTCTAACAAGCAAGATCCTTCGAAGAAGCCTTCCCCCCTCCCCCCCTACCCCCCCTCTGCGCGTGGCTGATCATGATGGGCAATGAGTCCTGAAGGGAACGGGTCCTGGACCCTGGGGCCGCCCCCCAAGAGGAGCTCTGCATCCTCAGTCGTTATCCGACGGTCCCGCGGCCCGTGGCAAGCCCCGAAACCCGGAAAACGGCGAACAACAACCTCCGGACCCGCTTCCCTCGGGACCCGCTTCCCTCGGCCCTCGGGGAGACGTAAGACTCGGGTACGGGGGACTCGGGTGGGCCCGACGGGGCCATCATGAAAACGACGATACCCAATCTGAGGTTTGACGCGAACTCCCGCTGCAAGCATCGCACACGAACACTGGACCGTCAATGACCAGGGCGCGCTCGTCAAAAAACGTTGGCAGACTCGAGTTCCGGCTTGCTCGAATCTTACGTTTCCCCGATTCGGGCTGCACCGGAACGTCAGAGCATCGGAATCGAAGCGGATCGGGCCAGCCAGGATCGACGTCCCGGATCCCCGACGCCGTGATTTTGTTGCATCATCCTCGGCGTCTTCTCCGTACTTCTCCTTCTCCTTTTCCTCCTCTTTCTCATCTTCCTCCTCCTCCTCCTCCTCCTCCTCCTCCTCCTCTTCATCCTGGTTCTCCTCATCCTCCTTCTCCTCCTCCTCCTCCTCTTTTCTCTCCTCCTCCTGCTGCTTCTACTCGCGCCCCCCCCCCCGACCGTGAAGTCGTACCCGGCGCCGCGGAGTAGCTCCTCCAGGAACTTGGGGTACGACTCGCTTGCGCTGTTGGACGGCGGATCTCCTGGCGGGCCGCCACCCCTCTTCGCACCGCCCGCTCGCTCTCGGGGGCTGTCGGGGCCGTGGGGCGTCCAGGGCGACGCGGGGCGAGCTTACGCCCTTTGTCTTTTTGGCTGGCAGGGGCCTTCTTTCGGGTGCATTGACGCCCGCCCCGCCAACATTAGGCTGGGCATGTTCCCTACAGGCGGATGTTGGATTATATATATATATATACATATATGTATATGTTTTTTTTTTTTTATATATATATATATATATATATATATATATATATATTAAAAACAACAATTACCCCAACAAGGACAAACACAGGAAACAAGATCGTCCCCAGACTATTTTTCGTATGTTGGATTACTCCTCCTGTAGAGGGACATGCCCGACTTAACCCCAGCGCCCGCCTGCCACCAGCCCGGGGCGGGAGCCTCGACCGCCACCTGCAGCAGAGGCGAGGGGCCAGAACAAAAAACGAGGAGGAGGAGGAGGAGGAGGAGGAGGTGAAGGAGGAACCAGAAAAAAACACTCGTGCCCCTGCCTGCTCCTGCTCCTGCTCCTCCTCCTCCTCCTGCTATTCCTCCTCCTCCTGCTCCTCCTCCCCCTCTTCCTCCTCCTCCTCCTCCTTCTGCTCCTCCTCCCCCTCCTCCTCCTCCTCCTCTTCCTCCTCCTCCTCCTCCTCCTCCTCCTCCTCCTCCTCCTCCTCCTCCTCCAGGGGGCCGGAACAAGCAAAAAACACGAAGGAGGGTTCTTGCGCGTACAAGGCTTTCGGACCTCTGCGCTGGCTCCGGCTCTCTGGCCTCCAGGAGCCGTGCAGCAGCGGCGCTTCGCCGAGGGAGTTCCCAGTGCGCCCGGACCGTCACGCTCGGCCGCTGGAGACCCGAAAACCAAACCTCCTCTCGTTCGGGGACTGCTAGAAAGGTGCCCCTGGCCTCATCATATTGTTCCCATCCTACTGCAGGATCACATCCCAGAAATAATTTCGAGCACCCGGAAAGGTGTCAATAGAGAGTCGAAGCAGTGTCGAAACAGTGTCGAAACAGTGTCGGGCGAGTGTCTCCTCAGGGCCCGACACGTGAAAACCCTTGAGTTTCGGTACTCTTTTGGGCGCTCGAAATTCGGAAGCATCATAACCCTGGCCCAAGGTGCCCCCAGCTTTTTCGTTCAACTTTGGAGCCCTTGGGGCCCTCTGGGCCTCGTGAGGCGTGCTCTGGAGGCCGTGGGGGCCTCCGTGGAAATCCTGGGGTACGTTGGGCCAGGGGCACTTCTAGCAACACCCGACTCGTTGCGAAAAAGCTATGACGAAATTTTTGTCGTTGTCAATTTTAGGCCTCCGGGGGCCCTTGCAAGGCCCCAGGACCGCGAACACACCGGCTCGGGAAGAGAAGTCGGTCCCGAGGAAAGGGTCGGGACCTGCAGGGATCGACGTCGTGAACAAAATCACGACGTCGGAACTCTGTGCTCCGCCGAGTGCGCTGGAGGAGTATCAGGACGGGGAAGGAAGGGAGGGGAAGGAGGAGGGCGACAAGGAATGGGAGGAGCACGAGATTCACTGCGCAACGCTGAGCAGCCATAGGATTCTGCGCTTGCGGGTGCCTTCGAACGAACAGCTGCGAAGTTACCTGCCTGCATTACTTACTTGTGACACGCTTCGGCGCGATCGGCCAGGCCACGTGAGACAACTTCGCACTTGTCGCGAAAAACCTTCTCGAAGTAAGCAACTATCTGAATTGCACCGCGGATTGCAGGCGGACGTGAATTGACACGCTGGGCAACCTACACTACCACGGGAACGAGCCCTTCAAAGCGGTGACTCAGAAACCTTGCGCTGATCGTGCTGTGTAAGTCTTGCGCTGAGCAAGAGAAAATTCAACATAACAGCTCTGAGCCGTGAATGCGCACTCTCGGTAGGGTTGCGAGGGGTAGAGGATATTGAGTGCAGACTATTTGGGAAAATCGCAAGCATGCATGGCATCTAGAATCACAACACGTGCGCGAACACGGCATGAGGAGAACACGATAGCCGCCACCGTGCCGCGAGGCACTGAGTGGATAGTTCTCAGGCCCACTGGAGCCAATCTATTCGTATATGTAGGAATAGAAAGAAGGAGCGACAGAGAGAGAGAGAGAGTGAACGACATACATATATACAAAGAAAGAGAAAGAGGAGGAGAGACAGAGAGAGAGGGAGGGGGGGAGAGAAAGAGAGAGAGAGAGAGAGAGAACGAGAGAGAGAGAGAGAGAGATCGAGATGACAGAAAACTCTTGAAAGGGGTCCGCAGCCCGAAGCCGCTGACGCCCTTGGGCGGTTCCGGAGGCGTGGCGCGTGCTCGTGCGTGTTGTTGCGAAACCTTTTTCCGAGCCCCGAGGGCCCAACATTGGGCAAAGAGGGCGCCACGATGCCCGAGGACCTCCTCCTTCTCCTCCTCTTCTTCCTCTTCCTCCTCCTCCTCCTGGTTCAAGAGAGCTCCGAGTCACTGAAAGATCGCTCCAAGACGCCTAAGATGGCCTGAAGACGGCCCATGAGGCCCCCCAAGACGCCCCAAGAGAGCCCCAAGAGCCCCTCCCCCCAAGAGGCCCCCACGATGCAACAATCACTTGCTTTTCTACGTTGTTCGCATTTGTCGCCTTCTCGGGCTCCACGGCGGCCCAAAGGGCCCCAAAGATGGCCCCAAGACCGCCCAGGGGGCTCAAGGAGGGACCCATGACCGCTCAAGACGGCCCAAGGGGGCCCCAAGAGGAGTCCACGAGGGAGACCTCGAATTGACACTTCGAGCCCTCCGCTCCGAGATGACCTCCGAGACCGCCAGCAGGCCTCCAAGCAGCCCCTGAAGGCCCTCAAGAGGTCTACTTCACCGGCGTGCTAAATCTCAAGTGGCTTGGGTTCTTTGAGAACTCCCCCTGTGGCTTCGGCCCAGCACGCCGGCCACCAGGAATGCTTGCTCAGAGGTGGTCGGCAAGGGTGTTTCCGTTCCAGATGGATCCAAGATGTCCTCCAAGGCAGCCAGTATGGCCTCCAAGTTCGCGCAAGATGGTCCAAAATGGCCTCCTAGACGGCCCAAGAGGATCAAAGATGCCTCCAAGTCCGCCCAAGAAGCCTCCAAGACGGCACAAGACGGCCCTAGAGGCACACAAGAGGTCCTCCAGGAGGTCCTCCAGGAGGGCCCGAAGAGGCTAAACTCAAGGATCCCCCCTTTATGTTTTGACGGATGTTGCCTTTTGTTTCTTTTCGGCCTTCCGACGGCCCAAGACGGCCCAAGAGGCTCCCAAGATTGCCTCAAGATCGCCCAAGAGGCCTCAAAGATGGCCCCAGGACGGCCCAAGAGCGTCCCAAGACGGCCACTAAAGAGCCCCAAGACGACCCAAGAGGCATTCAAGACGCCTAAGAAGCCTCCAAGACGGACGGCTCTTCAGCGCCCTAGAGGACCCCGACCCCAAAACGGCCAAGAGAGGCTCCCAAGACGGCTTCCGACGGCGTCAGACGGGCCAGACACGCCGCAAGACTGCCAAAGAGGCAAAGAAGCCCCCAAAGGCCCCCGAGAGACCCAAGGAGGCCTCCAAGAGGCCTCTGAGAGAGGCCCCCAGGAAGCTCCCACGAGGCCCCAGGAATGACGCACGAGGCTCCCAAGAGATCTCCTCATCGTTCTCCTCCTCCTCCTCCTCCTCACTTTTCCTTCCCCTCCTCATCCGTGTTTCCCGAAAGGTTTCCACAGCGGCTCGGTGACCACCTGGTCCGATAGTTTGTCCAAGCCCTGGACGCAAACGTTTGGCCACAGAGGCGCTTTTCACAAAGGCAGGGGGCGGCGGTGATCCGCCATAAGCGTCTTCGATCCGCCGCCCACGTGTGGCCTTGCCTCAGGGGTGGACGTCATGCAAGATTTTTGAATGCTCCGGTTTCTTCGGGAAGGGTCTCCGTGGGATCCCGGCCGATCCCGCCGGCCGCGCGGAGATGTCATATCCCATCGGTCTTCCCACGAAAGGCGGCCGCAGGACGGCCTCCAAGGCGGCAAGGTGGCCTGCAAGGCGGCAAAGGTGGCCCCAACTGTCTCCAGGGCGGCCCAATATGCACTCATGTCTGCCAACAAATGGCCTCACGATGACCCACGACGGCCCAAGAGACCCCCAATATGGCCTCCAGGACGGCCCAAGAGGCCTCCAAAAAGTCCCCCCAGGTCCAGAGAAGCCAAACTCATTAATTTGTCATTGACTTTCGAAGGATGCTGGCCTCAGCTTCTTTTCGGCCCACCGACGGCCCAAGACGGCCAAAGAGACTCCTAATATCGCCCAAGGCTTTCAAGATGGCGCCAAGACGGCCCAAGAGGACCCCCAGACAGTCCCACAGACCACCAAGACGGCCCTAAAGCGGCCAACAACGGCCTCCGAAGGGAAGAAGTCCCTGAGAGGCTTCCAGAAGCTGATGGAGCGTGATCCACCGCCGCTTTACTGTGGAAAATTCCCCTCCCTCTTCCTCCGGAATCCGGGGGTCTCCCCCCCCTCCGAAAATTCCCCCCCTCCTGCTGGAACCCTCCCTCCCCCCCTTCCCCCCGGCGAACCCCCCCCCCTCCCCTAACCCCCCCCCCTCTCCAGAAAATGGGGGGGGGGGGCACTACGGGTTCTAACCCCTCCCCCCTCGGAAAACCGGGGGGGGTCACTACCGGTTCGAACCCCCCCCCCCCCCCGAAAACCAGAGAGGGGTAACTACTGGTTCGAACCCCCCCTCTCCGGAAAACCGGGGGGGGTCACTACCGGTTCGAACACCTCCCCCCCCTCGAAAACCGGGGGGGGGGTCACTACCGGTTCGAACATCCCCCCCCCTCTCGAAAACCGGGGGGGTGTCACTACTGGTTCGACCCCCCCCACCCTCTCGAAAACCGGGGGGGGGGTAACTACCGCTTCGACCCCCCCCCCCTCGAAAACTGGGGGGGGGGGTCACTGACGGTTCGAACCCCTCCTCCCCCCCCCCTCACGCTCACCGCCAGCAAACAACTCTGGGTCCCTACCACCGTCCGCACCACATCCCCCATGCACCACTGTCCTCACCACCACTGTCCCCACTGTTCCCACCACCGTCACCACTGTCGCACTGTCCTCACTGTCCCCACCACTGTTCCCACCACGTCCCCACCACTGTCCCACTGTCCCCACTGTTCCCACCTTTGTCCCCGCTGTCCCCACCAGTGCCCCCGCCGGTGTCTCATTGTCCCCGCTCTCCCCACCATTGTCCCATCACGGTCCCACTCTCCCCACTTTCCCCAAGGTCCCCACCACTGTCCCACTGTCCCCACTGTTCCCATCACTGTCCCACTGTCCCCGCCGCTGTCCCACTGTGCTGTCCCACCGTCCCCACTGTCCCCATCACTGTCCCACTGTCCCCACTGTCCCCACCACTTTCCCCACTGTACTACTGTCCCACCACTGTCCTCACCACCGCCTTCACCACTGTCCCCACCACTACCGTCCCCACCACTGTCCCACTGTCCGCACCTCTGTCCCGCTGTCCCCTCACCAGTGTTCCCACCACCACCGTCCCCACCACTGTCCGCACCACTGTCCCACTGTCCCCGCGCCACTGTCCCCACCACCACCGTTCCCACCACTGTCCCAACATCCCCACCATTCTCCAACTGTCCCGAGGAACGGGCATCGTTTGCCGGCGGCGAGGGGGGGGGAGGGGTTCGAACCGGTAGTGACCCCCCCCGTTTTTTTTCGAGGGGGGGGAGGGGGGTTCGAACTGGTAGTGACCTCACACGGTTTTCGAGGGGGTGGGAGGGGGTTCGAACCGGTAATGAACCCCCCCCCTTTTCACGATGGACCGGGGGGGGGGGGGTTCGTACCGGTAGTGACCTCCCCCCGGTTTTCGAGGGGGGTGGGGAGGGGGGACGGGTTAGGAACCCCCAGTGACACCCCCCGGTTTTCAGTCAGCAGCGGTAAAACACGCTCTTTCGGAGGTCCCAAAGAGGCCACAGGGACCCCCAAGAGGACCTTCAGAGGCCCCCAAGCGGCCCCAGGAGGCCTCAAGAGGACTCCTCCTCTTCTAACTTCTCCTCCTCCTCCTCCTCCTCCTCCTCCTCCTCGACGTCTTCCTTCTACTCCCTCTCCTCATTTCTCTTCCTCTCCAACAAGCTTCCCCAAGGGGGTCCACAACGGCTGGGGAAGTACACAGTCCAATAGATAGCTGAGCCCAATTCTGCAACACTATTTGGCCGTATGGGCGTTCCCTCCGGGCAAGGGGCTTCGGTTGCTCGCCGTAGGCGTCTTCGATCGCAGCTTGCAGCCCTCTGCTGCGCGACAGGCAGTGTGCGTCCTCGGCACCAGGTGGCACTTCGCGCAGGCGGCGCGCAGCGCCTGCGGGTGTCCTCGGGGACCGTGGTCGGCAGGCCTCCAAGGCGCGCGTCGGCACTCGATAGCCTTGCCGCTGGCGACCGGCCGCCTGCCAGCCACGCAGCTCCATACTTACTGCGCCCGAGCTCCGCTAAGCTCCTGCACAGAGTGCGGCGTACTCGCCGACAGGGAGCTGCGGCTCCCCGGCAGCCCGCGCCACCGCGGGGGCCGAGCCGCCGATGCTGCGGCGCAGCAGCGCCAGCTTGTGGGCGGTCTGCAGCAGCGCGGCCAGCAGAGCGGCCTGGCGGAGCCCGACGACGCCGAGGCCGCAGTGGAAGCCCAGAAGCCAGGCGAGGGGCTGCTGCACCACCCAACAACAGACCAGCGTGCCCAACGACGCTGGCCCTTGCAAGCCGAGACCCGCGAAGACGCCGTCCATCAGGCTGTTGGCGGCGTCGAGCACCATCTGGGCCACCACCAGGGGAATCAGCCGCCGCAGGACCACCGCAGCCAGGCCGTCGCCTGGCAGCATCCACGCGACCAGCCCCGCCCTGGAGCCCCAGATCCCCAGCGCGAGGGCACCACAAAGCGCCGCGCAGCAGGCCGCGCACGCCCGCGTGGCCGACCGGACGCCGGCGACGTCGCCGCGGCCGGCGGCCGCGCCCACGAGCACCGTGGCGGCTTTGGGCGCGCCGCGCACCGCCAAGAACAGCCAATCAGACGCCGCGGTGGCGGCCACGTGCCCGGCCAGCTCCGCTGGGTTGTTGAGTGCGCCGGCCATCAGCGTGAGCGCCTCCCACGCCCACCAGTCGCAGCACTCCGCGCCAGTGCTGGGCAGGCCCAGCCGGGCGTAGGCGCGGAGGCCATCCAGCGAGAACGCCCTGGAGTGGAAGGGCCACCACCATCCAGCGCAGCTGGGGCGTGGCCTGCAGACGGATGTGTACGCGCCGAGAAACACTAATGATCCGCCACCGTGCCCTTGAGGTCCCTTGTTCGATCCGCTGGAGCCTCAGTCCTCAATCCTGAAGATCCTTCAAGGGGCCAAGACTCAAAATTGCCAAATCTTCCAGGGCTTGCCTCGTGGCCCCTGGGACCCTTCGCGGCTTCTCGCGTGACTTTTTCGGCCCCGAGAAGGCCCCAGATAGGCCCAGAGGGCCCCAAGAGGCCCCCGAGACGGACCAGGAGGGCCCGCTGTCGCCGAAAAATCGTTCCAAGACCTCCAAGATAGCCTCAAGACGGCCGAAGACGCCCCCAAGACGCCCGAAGAGGCCTCCCGAGGGGACCCCAAGAGGCGCACATCATTGATCCCCCTTGCGTTTTGGGGGATTTTGGCGTTCTCGCCTTTTCGTTTTCCCGACGCTCCAGGACAGCCCAAGAAGCCCTCATTTTTGGCCCCAAACAAACAGCCCAGCATGTCTCCTGGACGCCCCCAAAACTGCCCAAGAGGGCCCAAACGTCCCGAGAGGTCTGCAAGACGGCCCAAGAAGCCCCCACGCCGGCTCCGAGAGGGGGCACAGACGTGGGGCACGACCTGACGTGTCGAGCCCTCGGGCCCGTGAGCCCCCCAGGGTGCCCCAGGAGGCTCCCAGGAGGCCGCCAAGAGGCCCACAAGAGACCCCAAGAGGCCCACAAGAGTCCCCCGCGCGAACATCCCCTCCCTGAGCGGTGGAGAGCACACCGTGCTCGCCGGTGGAGAGCACACCGTGTTCCGCCATTCTGACGTCTGGTTGTACTTTAGAACGCCTGATCACAGCGCAGGGGGAGCCGTTGCCACGGCGCACAACGCGTTGCTTTAATCACGTGCTAACTGCTTCCAGTCGGGACATTCGGAGAGCACGTGCGAGCTGCTGGCGTTGCGAGTCCCCCGGGAAGCCCTAAGGGGCCCCCAGGAGGCTCCCAAGAGGCCGCCAAGAGGCCCCAAGAGGCCCACCAGAGGCCCCCAAGAGGCCCCCAAGAGGCCCCGATAGCGCTCCGAAAAGACCCCAAGAAGTATCCTTGAAGACTCTGGCCCGCAATGCAGGCACGGTGGCGGGATGGGCTGAAGGCCATTCGATCCGCCGCCTCCTGTTGGCTTGCCACAGGGGTGCCGGGCGTGCTGAATCCTGGGCGGTTTGGGTTCTGTTAGCAGTTCCCCCTGGGGCTTCGGCCCAGCGCGCGGGCCACGCAAAGGGCGCGCCAACGACCTGAGCGTCCGGAAAAGTCCTCCAAGACGGCTCAAGATGGCCTCCAAGAGGGTCCAGATGGCCCAAGATGGCTTTTGAGTTGGCCCAAGATGTTCCAAGATGGCCTCCAAGACGGCCCATGAGGGTCCAAGATGGCCCAAGACGGCCCCAGAGGCCTTCGAGAGGCTTCCCAGACGGCCCACGAGGTCTCCAAGAGTTATTCCAGGAAGGCCCGAATAAACCAGCATCATTGATTTTCCTTTGGTTTTTGAAAGATTTTGGATTCTCCCCCGTCTTCGTGTTCCGACCGCCCAAGACGGCCCAAGGAGTTCCCAAAATCGTCCCAGAGGCCTCCAAGATGGCTCCAGAACGGCCCAAGAAGCCTCAAGACAGCCCCAAGAGGGCCCCAAGATGGCCCAAGAGGCCTCCAAGACGCCAAAGATGGCCTCCAAGATGATGCTTTCAAGAGGTCCTCCAGGTAGGCCCGAGGGAGCCACAATCTTTGATTTTCCCTATGTTTGAAAGGTTTTCACTCCTCCTCAATTTTCGTCTTCCGACCGCCCAAGACGGCCCAAGGAGTTCCCAAAATCGTCCCGGAGGCCTCCAAGATGGCTCCAGAACGGCCCAAGAGGCCCCGAAGCCAGCCCCAAGAGGGCCCCAAGTCGGCCCAATAGACCTCCAAGACGCCCAAGACGGCCTCCAAGATGCGTCCAAGACGGCCAAGACGATCTCCAAGACGGCCGCTAAGACGGCCAAGAGGGCCAAAGATGGCCCAAGAGGCCTGCAAGATCGCCCAAGAGGCCTCCAAGATGGCCCATGACGGCCCAAGAGGCCCCAAGACGGCCCCGTGAGGGCCCCAAGACGGCCCAAGAGGCCTCCAAGACGCCCCAGAGGGCCTCCAATAGGGAAGCGAACTCTATACACCGATGCTTTTCCCGACCCTGCGCTGGAATTCGCGCAGGAACGCGGATTCTGGTGTATACAGGATCCTGATGTATACATTTTTCGTTGTTTCCCTTGGAGAACGGGGGAAAAGTATACACCACACCACCCCGACGTCGTCCCCGACACTAAAAAAGTCTTGGGATTGAAAAACAACCCGCCACTGGTAATGTATATGTTCCAGTTTCCGATCCAGTACGGCCCTGAAGCGCACCAAGACGGCCCCAAGTCGGTTCAGGGAGGCCCCCACAGCGGCTTCCGACGGCGTCCGACGGGCCAGGAACGCCCTAAGACGGCCAGAGAGGCCCTCAAGAATCACCCAAAGGCGCCCAAGAGGCCCAGGCAGGCCCCCGAGAGGCCTCCAAAGAGGCCCCCTGGAAGCTCCCAGGAGGCCCCAACAGTGCCCCAAGGGGTTTCCATGAGGCCTCCTCCTCCTCCTCGTCCTTGTTCCTCCCTCTCCTCCACTTCCTCTTTCTCTCCCCACGTGTTCCCCGAAGGCTTTCCAGACCGGGGAACACATGGTCCGATAGCTTGGCCAAGCTCTAGCCCAACTTTCGGCCACACAGGCGTTTCCAGAAAGGCAGGGGGCGGCGGTGATTCGCCGTAGGCGTCTTCGATAAGATGCTCTTCGTGGCCAGTGCAGCGCCCGCGCACTGCATGAACCCGAGCTGCGTGTACTGCAGGAGGACATGCAAGGCGATCATCTGTGCTGGCACAGTCGCGCACAGCACGGCTAGGCCTGGCCTGGTCAGCTCCTGGTTCATCAGGAACTTCCGCAGCGCGTCGTACTGGAACTCGAACCACAGGCCTGGCAGGCACGCGAGCACATACTCGCCGGCCATTGCAGCCGCAGGAGCGTCGGCAATGCCCAGCAAGGACAGCAGGCCCTCGGTCTTGGCCAGGAGCAGGCTGCACGCCATGGCGAGGGCCAGCATCCACAGCTGGCACTGGTGCAGGTGCTCGCGCGCCGCCCCGAAGTCCTTCCTCCCGAAGGCCTGCGCGACCAGGGCGTCCTGGCCACCGGTCCACCCTGACCGGATGACCAGCGCGAGGCACGTCAGGGCGCTGTTGCCCAGCCCCAGCGCCCCGAGGCGCAGCTCCACCTCCTCTGCGGACGCGCTCCTGTAGTGGCCCGCGGCCCAGAGCGGCAGGAGCGCGTCCGCGCCCTCCTGCAGTGCGTAGGCGGCCGTGACCGGCACCATCAGCTCGGCCACGCGGCGCAGCTCCGCGAGGCGCAGGCCCCACGGCATCGGTGGTGCGATGGCCAGGCCTGCGCCCCGGGCGGCCCGGAAGAAGAGGCTGGAGGGAATCGAAAGCTTCGGCCAAACGGCTGCGGATTGTGGAGATGCCCGAGGGTGATGAGGAAGTGCGCGCGCAGAACATCAAACATTCTGCCAGAAATCCCAATGACAGGCCGGTGAGTGGTCGTACATGTGCGTGTGTGTGTGTGTGCGTGTGTGAAGATATCTGTTGACATGTTAAGAAAGCCCAGAAGGGTTGGGACGGAATTCGACGTACGCGCGCGGAGAAGCGCGCGTGTGTCCCGCGTGACATCGATTGACAGGGCGCGCGCGCGGATTGTACGATAATTTTGGCATGCGCGCGCGTGGCTCGTTTGGACTCGTTCGACAGTGCCTAACAACCGAATGATTTCTATTAGCAAAAACGGCTTCGCCCAATTCGCGCGAACAGAACCCTGGTAAGGCTTGGCGAACATGATTAAGCAACAGCGTGTGGACGTACATAATCATATATACAAGTTCCCTACCTAGGTTCTGCCTAGACGGGTTCTTACTCTCTATCTTAAAGGGGCCGGGCAGTGTAAATCGCCCCGGGCGGTTCCCCCAGGATCGGCCCCGCGGTTCCCCCAGTTACGCCCCCTTAGCTTAGCGTTGCTGATCTCATCTCAGCTTAGCCTACCTTAACTTAGCTTAGCTGAGCATAACTTCACTTAGCCTAACCTAGCCTAGCTTTGCTTAGCTTAGCCTAGCCGAGCCTAACCTAGCTTAGCTTAGCTTAGCATAGCTCAGCTTAGCGCAGCGATGCACTAGCACAGCAGAGCATATCATAGCATATCATAGCATAGTGCAACATAGCACAGCACAGCACAGCACAGCATAGCGCAGCATAGCATATATATATATATATATATCAGACCATAGTTTAGCATAGCACAGCGCAGCATCGCATAGCGTAGCATAACATGGCATATCATAGCATAGCGCAGCATAGCATACCATACCATAACATAGCGCAGCGTAGCATAGCATAACATAGCGCAGCATATCATAGCATATCATATCATATCACCGCGCAGCATAGCATAACATAGCATAGCATAGCATAGCACAGCATATCATAGCATAGCGCAGCATACCATATCATAGCGCAGCATCGTATATGTAGATGTAGATGTGAGTCTCGCTGTTGATGATGATGTAGATGTAGATGCAGGTGTAGATGTTCATGTAGCTGTCGGTGTAGATGTAGATGTTGCTTTCCTAGATGCTCCAACTCGTAGGTAGGGTCGCACTGGGATAATACTTGTTAACGCAGCTGTGTCTTGGCATAGGGGACAGAACGCCATACGCGTTCGCTGAAATATTTTGACATGCGGGCTCGGGGACGCGCCTGTGAGATCAACGCGTGTGGGCCGCAATGTGTTCCTTCGCAGGGATGAAGGGGGGAACGATGTAGGCCTCCCTGGCATTCTGTGCCATGATAGGATCGGCCCTCCAGCGAAGTAGCGTGTCTCATAAAGAAACCGATGCGCAGAGGGGACCGGATAAGTTCAGCCTCGCTGCGGAGGGGGTGGGGAAACGGGCCTAAGTGGTACAACGTACGTATGCACACGTGTACGCGTAACTTGTTGGAACCATCCAACCTCTGAAGGTCTTTAGGACCTACTCTGATTAGGGGGTAACTAATTATTTGCTCGGTGGCATTATTGAAAGACTGGGATCCCACCACTAGGGGGTGACCAATTACTTGTGTTCCGCGGCACCCGCCGCGCAACAACGACGACGACGACAGCTACGACTACGATTGCGACTACGACTACGACGACTCCTTTCACTACTCCTTCTCCTCCTCGTGTCATTCCTAAGAGGGAGGAGGAGGAGAAGGAGGAGGAGGAGGAGGAGGAGGAGGAGGAGGAGGAGGAGGAGGAGGAGAAGGAGTAGCAGGAGGAAAAGGAGGAGGTTTCAGGACCAGTCCTGTTCTCCGTTGAGGGAAGAGGGGGGAGGGAAACCCAAACCTAGAGACTCCCTGCGGTTCCTATGCGCCACACGTGCGCACAACAGATCGCGCAGCCCATGAGCTGCAGGCTGGCAGCAGTAAGTCCGCGCACGAAGCGCCTGCGAGGCGCCCTCCGTGCGGGCACGAACTTGCCGGCGCGCGACGCGAGGCGCACGGGCGGGCGCCGGGCAAAAAACCGAAGAACCAAGAAAGATCCCCCCGACCTGAGTCATCTTTATCCAGAGGGGAAAGCCCATCTCCATCCAATGCGTTCTATTCGCCAGTTCATTGATGAAACAGCTCTGAAACTGCACGAGGCGCAGACGGGCGGGCACCCGACGAACACCTGAGGACCCACTCCACCGGTCAGCGGAAGGGGAGCGGACGCCTCCGTGCAGGCAGAAGTCCAGGGGGCGTAGCCTGCACCCCGCAGGTTGCACGCCAGCCATGGCCACACGTGCTTGCCAGCGTGGGCCCCGGGCCGTGCGCTATGGCTTTCTCGGTGCGCGACCTTGAAGGTGCAATCCGCGTCGGGTAACCCACGTGGGCTCCACCTGGTGCAATCTGCGACGCAAGATTCACCAACTCCAAGATGTGTCGTAGACTCCACTGCTCGCGCAAGCATCCCACCCTCCAACCTGCAACTTGTTCGGCAACACCCACGCGGCCACAACTGCGGCTGCTGCTTGGCACTTGCTAGCGCATCTCCTCGTCGCCATCGCTCGGACGCCCATTTTCCATGCATTATTCGATCTCGTGCGTGGAATTTTCCCAAGGCGATTCCAGATGCTCCGTGCACACGTCCGAATGACGCCAAATCTCTACGTCCTCGCCAGCTCGCGCGCAGAGCGACTAGTTGGTTTGGCACAGCTGGTGCGGCCGCGTTGGCGCTTCCCACTTGGAACTTCACAACGCGTCTCAAAAGCCTCGTTGGCGCGCTGGCATCTCAATGCGGATCCGTGACTCGCGCGAGCGCGATATCATGATGATACCAACATCGGCGGCAACGGTGATGATAACGGCGATGGTGGTGGCGATGGTGACGATGACGGCAAAACCAATGACGGCGCCGATGCTGGCAACGACGATGACGGATTGTTTCCATGACAGTGTGATGAAGATGATTGTACTGACGTCCATATTTCGGTGTCGAAGGTGGCTGTGATGATGATGGCGGCGATGGCGGCGATTGTCGATGACGATAGCGGCGGTGATGCGATGGCACTGACGATGGTGATGAGGAAATGCGCGCGCAGAAATTCAATACATATATCATTTGTTGTTGAACAAAAGCCTGTTTCGATGTATTGTTGAAGAGCTATCTTGAAATGCGTCGAGCAACACAGGTGTCGGAAGGATGTCTTCACAAGTGAGTGGCGGCTATCGCATGTGGCCCACATGGTATTATTTGAAACGGATTCGTGCACTGGCCGCGTGCTGAATTACGTGCGTGCACGACGTGGTGAGATGTGAATGCGGGTTCTGGACGAGTTTGATCGACTGCCTTTGGCTTTCGCAAGTGTGCGCGAGCAGATACTGTGCAAAATATTAGATGAAAGTCTAATGGGTTCTCAATTTATGTATGTCGACATGCTTGCAGAACTGATGTGTTTGGTGCGATTTTGGCATGTGCGAGCGGGTGTGGACAGTATGGTGTTCTTGTATCGCAAGGGTGCTCTCGACATGTAATCTTTTGATGTGAACGAACGTGCGTGTACGGTATTGTTTTGACAAGAACGAGGAGGGTGTAAACACAGGCTGGGCTGTGATGTTGTGACTTCGCACGGAAAGCGAACGATGTGGCAGAATCCTCTGTACTTTGCAAGGCGCCAGTGGGGTACCGAAAAGTCTGGGCTCGGGAGGGTGTTGGAATCTATTCTTCTTTCGCAGGAAGCAGTAATGCTTGAATAGCTTGGAGCCGCCAACCCTAAGCCTCGAAACCCACTCACCCGTATTTTATGTGTGAAACCCAGCGCGCGACGAGACGCGGGAAACCTCATCATGCAAATCCATGGCTCGGGCGGGCGAGTGTTGATGGTGGCGGCGACATCGGCGACGACGACGATGATGATAGTTGTGGTGTCTGTGACCATGACGACAAATGCACGACGACAACCATGCCACGATGACGACGACGGTGATGAGGTCGATGACGACGGTGATGAATATGATGGTGATGACGACGGAGGCAATGACGACGCTGGCGATGGTGCTGGCGATGCTGCTGATACGGATGGTGAGGAAGTGCGAGCGCTGAGAACCAACACATTTTTCGGTGCCGGAGCAAGTGCTGTATAGCTGCGGGCGAAAAGCGCTGGGACGCGCTCATGTGGGCCGCATAGTTTCATGTGATACGCATCGCTTCAAAACACGATTGCCAAATGAACGCGTGCGCACAGTGTTGCGGTATTCGTTGTTGTCAAAACTGGGCGATCGTGAAACGCTTCGTTAAGACAAAACAATACGCGGAGGGGATTCGTTGCCCCAAGTCTCGGCAGGGAGGGATTCAGAACCCCAAAAACGAAGCTGTGGGGTGCAATTAGCGGTGGGCATCCACGCGCGATCACCTCCCATCTTCGAGCAATCATCCCATCCACACGCCCGCAAGTTGTTGACAAACTGGAAGAGGCCGTGATTGGAATTATCAATCCGAAAAATCGGCGATTCGATAGAAGCACGAATCTCTCAAGCGAACCGTCCGGCACGCCCTACCGACACGTGTGGTGGCCCGACGAGGAGTTACTCGGCAGAACGAGGGGATGGCGGAGGAAGAGGAGGTGGCAGAGAAAAAACATGGATGAAGGAGGAGGCCTGGCCCTTCTCCTCCACGCCTCTCTGCCATCCTCCGTGCTCTCTTGACCTCCTCGTCCTTCCCCCTCGTCCTCCTCTCCTCCTCTCCTTCTCCTCATCATCATCAGCATCATCAGCATCAGCATCAGCATCAGCATCAGCATCAGCATCAGCATCAGCATCAGCATCATCATCATCATCATCATCATCATCATCATCATCATCATCATCATCATCATCATCATCATCATCATCATCATCATCATCATCATCAGCATCATCATCATCATCATCATCATCATCAGCATCATCATCATCATCATCATCATCATCATCAGCATCAGCATCAGCATCAGCAGCATCAGCATCATCATCATCATCATCATCATCATCATCATCATCATCATCATCCGCCTCCTCTTTGACCTCGCCCCCGTCCTCGCCTTTCTCCTCCGACTCCCTACCTCCTCGATGATATCCTCCGGTCCTTGGCCGCCCCTTCTCCTCGCCCCCCTCCTCCTCCTCCTCCTCCTCCTCCTCCTCCTCCTCCTCCTCCTCCTCCTCCTCTTCCTCCTCCCCCTCCTCCTCCTCCTCCGCCTCCTCCTCCTCCTCGTCCTTCACATCCCCCCTCTTTTCTCATCCTGCTCCTTCCCTCTCTCCTCCCACGCGCCCACTTACTAAATATGTGGCGCGCAGATTTCTGTGCCATCGACAACGCCGCAACGAACGCGCGGAGACGCCATGGACGATGCCGCGGCCGCTTCGCTGGCACTGTGCACAAGCGAACCCACGGCATGCTCCGCCTGTCCTCCACCTCCTCCTCCTCCTCCTCCTCCTCCTCCTCTTTCCCTCCCGCTCCTCCCTCCCCCCTCCCTCCTCCTCCCTCCCTCCTCCCTCCCTCCCTCCCTCCCTCCTCCTCCTCCTCCTCCTCCTCCTCCTCCTCCTCCTCCTCCTCCTCCTCCGTCCTCATCTAGCCTCTGAGCGGTGTCCACATGATGGAGCCCCTATATTAAAAGTTGGAGGGGCCCATCAGAATGTGTCACTCACCGACTGGGTTGCGATCCGCCCAGCCCGTGAGCCGCGGCAGGGTCCCCTCCCCCAAACTAGAAAAAAAACGGCTGGGAGTGGGAGTTCCAGCTGGGGTTCAGGCTCGGGCCAAGCTTTGATATCCCTCGGGGGTCTTCCAGCTTCCAGCGCTTTGAGAACTTCCACCCCGTGTTCTGAGACCTTCTCGAGGCAAGGCTTGGAGAATTTGTTGGAGGTTGTTGCAGCATAGCTTCCGCAATCGGGGCGCCAGAAAGCGTTTCTGAATCTCTGGAGGCCACGGAGGGGACAGTGAATTTGAGCATGGAACCCAGGGCACTCTGGGCGGAGCCAACTCTCCGCTGTCCCCGTCGAGGACGTGAGGCATTTGGAACACGTCCAAGCTCTGCTAGGACAGACGAACAGTCAATGCGAGGTGGACGCCGCGACCTCAGCAATGGCCTCTCGCTTGGCAAGCTTCCTCCTCTTGCCTTCTCGCTTCCTGTCCTCGGCACTGCCGGCGCCATTAAATTTGCGCATCATTCGTGGCAGTACGGTGTGATATGGTCAGAATATGCTCCTGGACTCTTCTGCTGAATGCATCTAGGCGGACAACTTCCGCAATTGCCCAGCCAGGGGCTTGGGCTTCCCTGGTCGCTTCCTCAGCTAGTTCGTCCGCCACAAATTTGGCCACCCAAAACTCGAAGCGGCTTTGGCGAACTAGTGCAGCATCTGACGCAGGCTCGTAGGACTTGATCTTCACAGCACGCACGCGACGACCCTCGCACTCTTGCCAGAACAAGCCTGGAAAAGGTGGAATTCTCAGCGTGGTGGGAGCGAGGGCCCGACTTTCTCCCGCTGGCCACCGGATCATTATCGCCGATGAAATTGTGGTCACCGTCCGTTCGCTGGGCTTGGCGGAAACACGCCCACAACTCAGACAATGGGAACGTTTGCTTGTAATCCAACAGCCCTAATAACGAGATCGAGAAATCGTTTGAAAACAATCCCCCGGGATTGTTTTAAAGAACGGCAGTGTTCTGTAAAACAGTCGCCGGGCACTGTTTTAAAGAACGCAACTATTGATATGTTCTGTCGGCGATGGTGATTTTTCTCTGCGATGCCACAACTGAGGCGTCATGGAAGCGACCCTGGAGGCACCCAATAGCCCCAGACCGAGCCCAACGGCATGGGCAGCTGGGGCGCTGGTGCATCCCAACTGTTCGCATTAGCCCACATGCTGCCAGTGGCCGATTGTTCGTGGCCGCCAGCAAACCGCGACTGCGGCGTCGGAGCCTCAGCTGCAGGCGGCGTCTCGGCCGCGACTGCGGCGCCCTGATCTCTCCACCAACTGGAGCCCCATCCATCCCAGGAGTCCCAATCATTCCAAGAGCTCCCCTGCGAACGCCACGAGTTCCAGCCGCCCCACCTGTTCCTCTGCCAGTGGCCCCGAGCCTCCTCCTGAACCGCAACTGCGGCTTCAAGGCCAGGTGGTTGGTCATGAGCCACTGCCCATTCGCGTTTGCCCTTGCCGCCCCCATGGCCTCTGCCTTGGCCGCCCTTGCTCTGGCCTTCGCCGCCTTTGCGCTCGTCGTTTTCGCCCTGGCCCCCCTCTCGCTGGCCCCCCTTCTGGTGGCCGCCGTCCTCTTTGCCTCCTTTTCGGCCCCCCCAGTTCTCCCCTTTCCTTTGCTTCTGCTTAAAGAGCCTTTCGGCTTGTTTCTCAGGCGACCTGCGTGGCTGGTTGCGCGTATACACCAAAAAACCCCCGCGGCCACCGTGACGCCGCTGTCGTCGTGGTGGTCGTCATTGTGGTCGTCATTGTGGTCGTCATTGTGGTCGTCGTTGTGGTCGTCGTTGTGGTCGTCGTCGTCGTCGTTTTCCTCCTTCTCCTCCTCCTCCTCCTGCTCCTCCTCCTCCTCCTCCTCCTCCTCCTGCTCCTCTTTCTTCTTTTCCTCCTCCTCCTCCTCCTCCCTCTCCTCCTCCTCCTTCTCCTTCTCCTTCTCCTCCTCCTCCTCCTCCTCCTCCTCCTCCTCCAATCCTCCCTCCTATTGCTCCTCCTCCTCCCCGTCCTCCTTCTCCTGCGCCTGCTCCTGCTCCTCTTGCTCCTCTTGCTCCTCCTGCTCCTCCTGCTCCTGCTCCTGCTTTTGCTCCTGTTCCTGCTCTTGCTCCTGCTCCTCCTCCAAAGCTTTCACTCCGATGACCGGATGACCATACAGCAGCGCAGGCACTGCTACTGCACACATTCCCTGCTACTGCACACATTCCCTGCTGGAGAAAATTCCCTGCTCCTCCTTCTTGTCCTCCTCACCTCACGCATCGCCCCCTGGCCCGTGCTCCAGCTCCCGCTGCTCCTTCTGCCCCCCCTCGTCCCGTCGTGGTCGCCGTCATCGCCGTCGTGGTGGTCGTCGTGGTCATCGTGGTGGTTGTTGCCCTCGCCGTGGTGGTTGTGGTGGTCGTCGTGGTCGTGGTGGTCGTGGGGGCCGTGGTGGACGTCGTGGTCGACCGTCGACGGCCAACGGCCGTCGGCGACCTCTGGTCCCTCCCTCTGGTCCCTCCCGCCCTCTGGTCGTCGTCGTCTTCGGACCACCCCCTCTGGTCCCTCTCTTCCGCTCGTGCCTCGTGCCCCGCCCCCCTCTTCAGCCTCCTCTCGTCCGCGTTCTCCTGGAGGAAGAAGAGGAGGAAAAGGAGGAGGAGGATGAGGAGGAGGAGGAGGAGGAGGAGGATTGCTCCCTCCTCCTCCCGCGTCTTGCTCGTGCCGCCTCCCGACTCCAGCCCTTGCCCCCTCTGGCCCTGCCCGGGCTCCCCGGACGCCCACGGTCAGGCTGTCGCCGAAGCAGCAGATGGCGCCCCCGTGGGCTCCTGGCAGAGAGCGGCCCCTCCTCCACATCCTTCCTCGTCGTGTTCCTCTTCCCTCTACTCGTTTTCTGCCACATCCTCTTCCGGCTCCGCATCCGTTTCATCTTCCACCTCCGCTGCTTCTTCTTCTTCTTCTTCGTCTTCTTCTTATTTCTTCCTCGTGCTCCTCATCTGGCTCCTGCTCCTCCCGCTGCTCTTCGTGCCTTTGCGGCTGCTGTCTCCGCTGCCCTTCCTGCCCGCCGCTCCTTCAGCCTCATCCCCCCTACTGCTGCCGCTGCCCCTCCGCCTTTTCTCGTCGTCGCCCCGTACGCTCCTCCATCCGACTTCTTCTCCTCGTCGTCGTCGCCGTCGCCCTGGAGACCTGGGCCCCGTCCGCAAGACTGGCTCTGCGTCCCGAGCCGCTCTGGACGGCTCTGGGGCACGGCGAAGGCCAAATAATGGCCCCAAACCGAGGTGGGGGTCCTGCTCCTTTCTTTGTTTGTCGTTTCTTCTCTTCAGTTGGGCGGGCATGAAGTGCTAGGCTTGCTGCGTCCTTTCAATGCGAGAGGCCTCCAGGTAGAAGAACACAGCGACTTAGGTCCGTGAAAACGAAGTACGATCGAAACGTGCATTGAGGACGGGTGGTACGGACGCAGGACCCTTGGAGGCCGAAGTTGGGATTTCTGGGCGGCGCACAAGGGCACCTTAGATGAAGGCGCGCGCCCTTACTAGGCGCGCCGATTGCCAGGCAACCGCCAGTGCCGAGGCAAGCTGTGCAGACAGGAACGGTAAAAGCGGCGTGCGCCTGCTCCTCCCCCCCTCTTTCTCCTGCTCCCTGATCCTCCCGCTCGTTGCTCGTTGCAGTGGCCTGCGGGCCCGTCGGACGCGGCGTCCCTCCCCCCCCCTCCTGCTCCTCCTTCTCCTTCACCCTTTTCCTTCTCCACCCTGCACGAGGCCCGTCTGTAGGGGGCAAACAAACCTACCTCGCTTTTGACCACCCTCGCTTCCAAGAGATACCAAGCGATGCCAAACTACGGCATGTACTGGTCAGGCCGCTTGACGAGGGGGCGTATGGTAGGACTTGGTTTTGCCTGGAAGCGAAAGCGGGGTAGGTAACTCACGCTCTGAGTCTGGGCCGCCCGCCCGGTCGGGCCGCCGCGCGGCACGGGCTCCCAGCACCGCCGGCGGGCAGCCTCGCAACAGCCCGGCCCGCGGGACGCCCCCTCCCGCGGCCGGGAGCCCTCCGGCGGGCCCTCAGCGCAGGCCCCGCCTCCCCCCCGCTGCTGCGCCTCGCGCTCCTCCTCCTCCTGCGCCGCGCGGGCCCGGGGCGCCGCCGTGCGGCGCCAGGGGCGGCCCCCGCCCCCCCGCTGGGGCAGGCCCGCGCGCGGCATGGCGCTGCGGCGACGGAGGGGGGCCGCAGGAAGCGCCGCCGCAAAGGCAGCCCCGCGCCCCGCGCGGGGGGAGGGGATGGCAGAGGAGGAAGGGGTACCCACACCTCTTCTACCCTTTCCTAGCTTTCCCTTTTTGGGGGGCCTCCTCGGGGGCGCTCGTCGCCACTGTCGGATTCACCTCGGAACCCTGCTCAGAACGCACCCCAGGAGAGGTGTGGGGAGCAGTGGCATCGGTACCTTCTGGTCTCCCCAGGGGGGGGGGGGGGGGGGGCAAGTGCGCGGCGCCAGGGGAGGGCGAAGGGACGTGCTGAGACAGGAGCCGTGGGCCTTGAAATCTGGGGAGCTGTCCTGGGCCTGGGCAGGCCTCTCGCCCCCCCCCCTTCCTCGATGCCTGGCGGCCTTCGGGCCATGTCTCGGGCCTCGCGGCAGTGCGAAACGACTCGGGCCTCCCCACACGGCCCTCGACGAAGACGTCCCGATGCGTGAGAACCTCCAGGGACAAAAAACGGAAACTGCCTGCACCCTCCCCCGGTCCTCGCCCCCCTCTTGGAACCCCAGAATCATCAACCCGATCTCGCGAAAATCCTGGAGGCTTCGCGCGGCAACTTGAGACCAGGCCTCATTTGCGTCACGCCGGATTCACCTCGGACTTTCGTCCGGTTTGCGTCGTACGTGCGTCGGAACCTCGCCGTGCGAGCGTCGTCCAAACTCTGGCGGGGCGGACGTGCGGGCTAGATACTGCAAACGATTGCGCGCCGCGCGAGGCCTCCAGGATTCTTCTCGGGTGCACAAGCGGCGGCTCAGCGAGCGCCGCAGGGCCCGCGTCCCCCGACCTCCTCCCGGTTGTGAGCCCAGACGTGCCCGCGTCGTGAGGCAGCCGCGGCGCAGGGTTCTTGGCCGTTCTCGGCCTCCGGGGCCCCTCGCAGCATCTCGTGACCATCCACAGGAGCGGCCCGGGATGGAGCATCGGCCCCGGGGAGACGACACGCAGGAGTCTCGGGAGAACGTCGCGAAGGGACCCCTCGGCAACTTGCGGCCTGCGCCGGGCCCCGGGGCCGTCAACAGCACGGCCGTGGGGAGGAGAAGCGGGTCCGGGGAGAGGCCCAGAACTCGGGGGGAAGAGGGCGCGTTGCGCGATGGCACGAGGCGTGGGAGTTTTCGCCGCGGGGCCAGCGCGCGCAAGCGGCGCCCGCCGAGCCTCGGGCCCGGGTGCTGGCCTCGGCGCGCGAGCGAGGGGCTCTCCAGGCCGCCGCGCGGGGCGGCCTCGAGAGGCAGGCGCTGGCGGGAGCTCGGTGCTCCTTGCCCGGAAGGCTCATGCGTGTGTGTGTGTGTGTATTTGTGTGTGTGTGCGTCTGGGCGCGCGTCTCGCTGTCGCTCGACCTGCGCTACGCCGCGTCGCTGCGCGCGTGGCCGCGGCGACAAAAAAATGCGCGCGCGCGCGCGCGCGTGTGTGTGTGTGTGTGTGTGTGTGTGTGTGTGTGTGTGTGTGTGTGTGTACCAGCCGGGTGGACAGCGTCCGAATCACGAGTGAAACGAACACATCCCTGTACGGGCAACAGGCCAACTAGGGCCGAGGTGTGTGTGTGTGTGTGTGTGTGACCGTGGCTCATCGTCCGCCCACCAAGCTGGCCGTCTTACTGCAGGCCTGTTCGCCTGGCGCAGCCACACGCTCGCGATGCCGCGCAGACCCCGCGCCAGCCTGCAGGCGATCCTTTGCTCTCGGTGCGGTGATGACGCTCGGACGCTCAAGGAACAAGTGCTTTGTCTGTCGGTCTGTTTGTCTGTTTGTTTGCTTGTTTGTTTCTTTGTTAATTTGCTTGTTCCTCTGTTTGTTTGTTTGTAGAACGGACTTTTGGCGCTCCGCGCGGATTTCCTGGATCTGCGCTGGAGCCCCCTTCCTGTTGTGCGGAGCGCGCCAGGGGCGGCGCCGGAGGCGCCGCCGCGGGGGGGCCCAGCGCGGATCCAGGCGGAGTGCCAACAATTTATGTTTCTGGCGTTTTTTCTTCTGCGACCGTCGTCGGCAACGACGACAACGACGCCGCCGACGCCGACGGCGAAGCGGCAGGGCGGCGAGGAGGGGCAGCAGCGGCCGACGCCGACGCGGGCGCCGAAGCCGCGTAGGCATCCTCCGCCCGCACCCAGCGGCGCCGCGTCGGCCGAGGTGGGCTGAAGCTCTGGCGGCGGGTCCTCGCCGCGCGCGCCAGGGGGTGGTGGTCGTCGTCGTCGTCGTCGTCGTCGTCGTCGTCGTCGTCGTCGTCGTCGTCGTCGTCGTCGTCGTCACCGTCGTCGTCGTTGTCGTCGTCGTCGTCGACGTCGTCGTCGTCGTCTTCGTCGTCGTCGTCGACGTCGTCGTCGTCGTTGTCGTCGACGTCGTCGTCGCGGTGGGCATCGTTGACGCCGCGGTCGTAAGGTTGGTCGCATCGTCTTGGGGCCAACTTGGGGCCATTTAGGCGCCGCCTTGGAGGCACCTCGAAGGCTAATCCAGGCCACCTTGGGCTGACTTGGGGGCACCTCGACCCCTCCTGGGCGCTCTCGTGGGCCCGCTTGAAGATCTCTCGGGCGCCATCCTGGGACGTCTTGGGGGCCTGTCGAGCCGTCGTGGGCTGGCGTCCTCTGGAGGCTTTGTTACTGCTTGCTGCTGCTGCGTGCTGTCTGGCTGTTTCTTGCTGCTGCCTGCTGCAGCAGGATGCGCGCTGCTGCCTACTGCTTGTCGTGTGGCCTATTTTACTGGCTCTGCTGATATGCGGCCTGCTTGGCGGGGTTCTTGGGGGCCGTCTCGGTGCCTTCTTCGGCGAATTTGTGGGGCATCTTGAAGCCCTTTGGGGCCGTCTTGGTGTATTTCGGGGCCCTACTTGGCTGACATGACGCGCACTCTGGGACCCTATGAACCGCTCCTGGCGCTAGCTCGGCTCGAAAAGCACGGGAGGCGATGAGGTCACTGGAAGACCAGGCTCGACCCGAGCAGTATTTTCAATTTTCGTGTTGTTTTCGTTCTCCCTCGTTCTGTCCTCGCTCCGCCTTGGCTGTAAAACGACATCAAAACGAACGCGGCCCACGAGATTGCTAAAAGACCGCTTGGGTCGAGCCCTGCCTGGAAACCTTGCTCTTCAACGAAGCTGGGGCCTCTCCTGAAGTCCCTCGCTCGCCTCGAGCGGGCGGCGCGCTCGAGACGTCCCAGGACGCTCATAGAGCGGGCTGCAACTGCCAGCACTTCTGACCACTAGTGGGGTCGTATTTTTAACCAGTTCCGTTTTGCATGTTTACGCGTCGGTTCCGTCGCCGTTTTTTGTTCGGGTTCCGTCGTCGCTTTTTTGACGGCTCCGGTTCCGGTCCCAATTCTGGCGAGTTATTGTGCCGTGTCCGTTTCTTACCGTTGCCAATTCCAAGAAGCAATTTTCGGAAACGGTGAAAGAGCAGCCCTGCCAGTTCCCGGACCCACTAATTAAGCGCTGGCCAACCCCGCATTCGTCATAGCACAACAGAGAACATGATGATCAAGACCATTCTCGCTCAAGGCATCTGGGCTTGTGTTGCTCCCATCGAACTTAAGGACGGCATCCCAGAACTAATTTCGAACACCCAGAAAAAAGTATTGAAACAGTGTCGAACGAGTATCACCTCCCAAGGCCCGATACATGAACACCCACAAGTTTCGGTAATTTCTTTCTGGTGATCAAGGCTGAAGTAGGTTAGAACATCACAGGTCCGGGCCAACTTCCCAGAAATTTCTCAAAACCAGCCTGGGCCAACTCGTCCGTGTTAGCGCCAGAGGGGCGACGGAGCTCAGGAGACCGGGCCAACTCTCCGGCAGGGTGGTTCGGCAACGGCGGCCCAGCTTTTCGGGAGGAGGCTTCTTCATCAAATGCTCGGCTGTAGAAGCTATGGCATCAGGCTCTGGCTTCACTTTCCGCATTTCCCGGAGCAGAAGGGGGCCTTTTGCCACTGCTTGCCTCTTGCGCTCGCGCGGGTGCCCGCGCTGTAGCTGCTGACGCTGGTCTCCACCTTCGCTTCAACCAACTCGCTGAGAAGCGACACCGCACATCGCATCTGCATGCTTTTGTTTACCACATGGGATGGCAGTCGCAATGCAGCGGAATTGGCCAATCTTTAGACTTTGCCTGGAAGCTTCGTGGAACGATTGCAGCGCCGCGCTGCTTCCCTCTCTCCTCTGAAGCTCCTTCCTGGTCGATCCGAACTCAGAAACACATGGTGGATACATTCGTTGATCTCAAAACTTCCAGCCGATCTCGAGCCGAACAAAAACTGCCCGAGCCAAGTGCGACAGCCACACATCTTGCGGGGAGGGGGAGGGAGCGAGAAGAAAAGGGAGGGGAGATGAGCACGCTGCTTGAGAAGAGGGAGGAAAGGAGGTCTCCTCTTCCTCCTCCTCCTCCTCCTCCTCCTCCTCCTCCTCCTCCTCCTCCTCCTCTCCTCCCCTCCTCCTCGTGCGCCTGCTCATCCCCTCCTTCTTGTGCTGCTGCTGCTCTTCCTCCCCAGCACCTCTGCTCTTTCTTCTCTTCTGTCTCCTCGCCTTCCGCCTCTCGCCTCCCCTCCTCCTCGTGCACTTGCTCACCCCCTCCTCCTGCTGCTGCTGATGCTTCTCCTCCTCCTCTTCCTCGCCAGCTCCTCTGCTCTTCCCTCTCTTCTTCCTTCTGGCCCTCCTCCCCTCGGCAGTGCGCACAGGGGGACGGGCGCAAGCTGTGGCGGCCTTCTGCGAAGGCGGGGGGGGGGGCCTCACCAGAAACGCCCCCGCCATTTCAGAAGGCCGCCCCCCTCTCGCACCTCCCCTTTGTGCGCACCGCCAATCCTCGTCCTCCTCCATTGATCGTTCTCCTACTGCTCATTCAAGCTACGGGATGATGATGCTGATGCTGCTGATACGGATGCTGCTGCCGATGCTGATTATGATGATGATGTTCCCCATATCCTAAGATGGGGTTCTTGTTATTCCCCATATCCAAAGATGGGGTTCTTGTTATTGGCGGACCGCGCCGGAAGGACACAGAACAGGACAGAACACCACACCCACCACTCATCACTCAGACTCACCACTCAGATTCACTCATCACTCAGACTCACTCATGCTCTCTCATCACTCAGACTCAGTCATCACTCAGACTCAGGCGATTCGCTCGTCTCAGCAATCTAAGGGGGGCGGCGGGGGGGTATTTCACGGGGTCCCGTTCGCGGAATTTTGTGGGGATGTCTCAGGCGGTTTGGCCATTTTCTGATCCAACATGTTTCGTTTTCGGAGCAGATTTGGAGGATGTCTCAGGCGATTCGCTCGTCTCAGCACTCTAAGGGGGGCGGCGGGGGGGTATTTCACGGGGTCCCGTTCGCGGAATTTTGTGGGGATGTCTCGAGCGGTTTGCCTGTTTTCTGTGCCAGCATCCTTCGCTTTCGGAGCAGATTTGGAGGATGTCTCGAGCGAGGCGCTCATTTTCACCCCCCAGGTGGGCCAGATTTTGAGGATGTCTCGATCGGTTTGCTTGTTTTGGTGGCCAGGCTCGTGGGCGCATATTCTTCTCTGGATGCCACAGGAGGCTCCAACAGGCTCCAGGAGGCCCCAGGAGACATCATGAGGTCCCAGGAGGCATCAGGAGGCCACAGAAAGACTCAAGAGGCCACAGGATGTCCCAAGAGGCTCCAGGAGGCCCCAGGAAGCTCCGGACGGCCTCAGGAAACCACAGGAGGCCCCACGAGGCAACAGGAAGCGCCAGGAGGCCTCGGAAGGCAACAGGAGGCCCCGAGAGGCCCCAGGAGCAGGAGGCTTCAGAAGGCAACAGGAGTGGCTCCAATCCCATGTGTTTTACGTATGCTCCTATCGATTGGGCCTCACCTGGAGCACGAGTCTTTTGATGTTATACGTATGTTTCTATATATTGTCCTTCTCCTGTGTACACAATCCTACATATTTTGCTAATGTTCCTATATATATATATATATATATATATATATTGGGCCTCTCCTGGGGCACGAGTCCTTTGTGTTTGACGCGTGTTCCTATAGATTGCCCTTCTCCTGTGGCACGAATCCGCAATGGTTTATGTACGTCAGTTGCTATATATTGCGCCTCTCCTGGGGCACGAAACCTCCCTAGGAGGTCCCAGGAGGCCCCAAGAGGCTCCTGGAGACCCCAGGAAGCCCCAGTAGGTTTCAGGAGGCCCCAGGAGGCCCCAGGCTCATGCACAAAGACGCGCTTGTACTACTGAGGCTCATTCACATTCCAATTCATTCGCAGTTAGATTTATGTCCTGACCGTCACAACTGAAGCCCGTGTATATTCGAAAGCTCTTGCGCCTAGACATTCACGGCGGACAGGTCCACGCGAATAGATGCACTTCTTTTGTTCCCCATATCCAAAGATGGGGTTCTTGTTATTGGCGGACCGCGCCGGAAGGACACAGAACAGGACAGAACACCACACCCATCACTCAGACTCAGTCCTCACTCATCACTCAGACTCACTCATCAAGACTCACTCATCACTCAGACTCAGTCCTCACTCAGACACACCACTCATCACTCAGACTCACCACTCAGATTCACTCATCACTCAGACTCACTCATGCTCTCTCATCACTCAGACTCAGTCATCACTCAGACTCAGGCGATTCGCTCGTCTCAGCAATCTAAGGGGGGCGGCGGGGGGGTATTTCACGGGGTCCCGTTCGCGGAATTTTGTGGGGATGTCTCAGGCGGTTTGGCCATTTTCTGATCCAACATGTTTCGTTTTCGGAGCAGATTTGGAGGATGTCTCAGGCGATTCGCTCGTCTCAGCACTCTAAGGGGGGCGGCGGGGGGGTATTTCACGGGGTCCCGTTCGCGGAATTTTGTGGGGATGTCTCGAGCGGTTTGCCTGTTTTCTGTGCCAGCATCTTTCGTTTTCGGAGCAGATTTGGAGGATGTCTCGAGCGAGGCGCTCATTTTGACCCCCAGGTGGGCCAGATTTTGAGGATGTCTCGAGCGGTTTGCTTGTTTTGGTGGCCAGGCTCGTGGGCGCAGATTCTTCTCAGGATGCCACAGGAGGCTCCCACAGGCTCCAGGAGGCCCCAGGAGACCACATGAGGTCCCAGGAGGCATCAGGAGGCCACAGAAAGACTCAAGAGGCTACAGGATGTCCCAAGAGGCTCCAGGAGGCCCCAGGAAGCTCCAGAAGGCCTCAGGAAACCACAGGAGGCCCCAGGAGGCAACAGGAAGCGCCAGGAGGCCTCGGAAGGCAACAGGAGGCCCCGAGAGGCCCCAGGAGCAGGAGGCCTCAGAAGGCAACAGGAGTGGCTCCAATCCCATGTGTTTTACGTATGCTCCTATCGATTGGGCCTCACCTGGAGCACGATTCTTTGATGTTATACGTATGTTTCTATAGATTGTCCTTCTCCTGTGTACACAATCCTACATGTTTTACGTATGTTCCTATATATTGGGCCTCTCCTGGGGCACGAGTCCTTGGTGTTTTACGCGTGTTCCTATAGATTGCCCTTCTCCTGTGGCTCTAATCCGCAATGTTTTATGTACGTCTGTTGCTATAGATTGCGCCTCTCCTGGGGCACGAAACCTCCTAGGAGGTCCCAGGAGGCCCCAAGAGGCTCCTGGAGACCCCAGGAAGCCCCAGTAGGTTTCAGGAGGCCCCAGGAGGCCCCAGGCTCATGCACAAAGACGCGCTCGTACTACTGAGGCTCATTCACACTCCAATTCATTCGCAGTTAGATTTATGTCCAGACCGTCACAACTGAAGCCCGTGTATATTCGAAAGCTCTTGCGCCTAGACATTCACGGCGGACAGGTCCATGCGAATAGATGCACATATGGGGAGCTCCACGCAGTGAATAATTACTTGGACGCCTCATACTTCCTCTTCTCCTACTTCCTCTTCTCCTCCTCCTCCTCTCCTCCTCTCCTCCTCCTCCTTCGTCCTCCCTCCTGTCGGACTTACTCATACTCAGACTTGCTCATACTCGGGGCGCTGGTTTCAGCACCCCTAAGGGGAGCCGCCAGGGGGTATATCACGGGCCCGTTCGCGGCCAGTTTGTCGGGATGTCTCAGGCGGTTTGCTCGTTTTCATGCACAACATCCTTGGCTGTCATAGCAGGTTGTGGGGATGTCTCAGGCGGGGCGCTGGTTTCAGCACCCCTAAGGGGAGCCGCCAGGGGGTATATCACGGGCCCGTTCGCGGCCAGTTTGCCGGGATGTCTCAGGCGGTTTGCTCGTTGTCGTGCTCATCATCCTTGGCTTTCATAGCAGATTGTGAGGATGTCTCAGGCGGGGCGCTGGTTTCAGCACCCCTAAGGGGAGCCGCCAGGGGGTATATCACGGGCCCGTTCGCGGCCAGTTTGTGGGGATGTCTCAGGCGGTTTGCTCGTTTTCGTGCTCAACATCCTTGGCTTTCATAGCAGATTGTGAGGATGTCTCAGGCGGGGCGCTGGTTTCAGCACCCCTAAGGGGAGCCGCCAGGGGGTATATCACGGGCCCGTTCGCGGCCAGTTTGTGGGGATGTCTCAGGCGGTTTGCTCGTTTTCGTGCTCAACATCCTTGGCTTTCATAGCAGATTGTGAGGATGTCTCAGGCGGGGCGCTGGTTTCAGCACCCCTAAGGGGAGCCGCCAAGGGGTATATCACGGGCCCGTTCGCGGCCAGTTTGCGGGGATGTCTCAGGCGGTTTGCTCGTTTTCGTGCTCAACATCCTTGGCTTTCATAGCAGATTTTGAGGATGGAGGAAAGGGGGAGGAGGAGGAGGAGGAGGAGGAGAAGGAGGAGGATGAGGAGGAGGACGAGAAGCAAGAGTATGCACATCTGGGAAGCTCCGAAGTTACCGCAGGCTGAGGAGGGCACGGCCTGGCAGCTGAGGAGGGGGAGTGAAGATGAAGAGGCTCATGTTCAATCATACCCAGCTCAGTCTGACTCATACTCACTCACTCGCATCAGGATGCACTCGTCTTCGTCGGGCCTGTCGCCAACGTTGTTGATGATGGTGATTTTGCTGATAATGATGTTGTGGAGGAGGAGGAGGAGGAAGAGGAGGAAGAGGAGGAGGAGGCGGAGGAGAGGGGGGGAAATGAGATCGATGGACGCTGGCACTCTCGCAGTCCAGCCCCTCAGAGCGCACACGGCAACGGTCCCATGTCCGCCCGCAGCCCGGAGCGCATCGCGCTCCCGGCGCTGCTGCTTCGAGGCCCGCCGATTAAGGCCCAGATAGCGTAACCGCACGTTCCTGGGCAGGTTGGGGCTATCGGGCTCCTATCGGCGATCAATGGGTCGTTGGGGGTTGACGCGTCCCCTCCTAGGCCTATCCACCCTTATCGTTGCCACTGGGGGTAGGGGGTTGGGGGAAGGCCTCTGACAAGGAGGCTGCTCCTTAGGAGGCGCCGGCCTTGCATCCATGGGCAAGGCCCGCGCCTTTTCTGAGAAGCAGGGGTGCTTTCAAGACGCCTTCCCCCTCCCCCGTACTCTTCGATGGCAAATCATGAGAGCCTCCCGAATCATCTTGTCGGCTCTTGCGAATCGGCGCCAACCGACGCTGAATCGACGCGAATCGACGGTACATCGTCGCTAACCGACGTTCGCCGACGCTGAATCGAATCGGCGCTATCTCATCGGCTCCCATACGCGAATCGACGCCGCTCGACGCCCAAAGCGGAAGTAAGATGGCACACCGGGCTCACATGATTTGCTACCGCACTACCCAAACCCCCGACGTCGTGATTTGTTTTCACAACGTGACCCCCAGGAGCCTGGACCCCTTCCCGGGGCCCGGTTTTTCATCCTGAATCGTTGTTTGACGGTCCGAAGCCCGCCGAGGGCACCTGGGGGCCGAAAGTGGTGAAGAACCGCCCGCTGTGATTTTCCGCGACACGAGGGGGTCTGGGTACCCTCCTCTGCGCGTGCCCGAGCGTTGCTGCCAGCCTGGCTCTCGCTCCAGCACGCTCCCCGCCCCAGCGCGGCTCACCCAGCCCAGGCCCAGGTCAGGCAGGGAGGGGGTGGAGGAGGTCAGGCAGGAAGGGGGACGAGGAGGGGGAGGAGGAGGAGGAAGAGGAGGAGGAGGAGGAGGAGGAGGAGGAAGTAGGAGGAGCAGGGGAAGGAGGGGGAGGGGGAGGAGGAGGGGGGGAGGATGAGGAGGATGGGGGAGTCGAGCGTGCTCGAGAGCGCGGTTCCCTCCTTTCGGCGCCGCGGCGCCGCTCATGGCCTCGAAGGCGACGGAGCCGACGAACATGGTGAAGAACTCCTCGAAGGAAAACTCAAAGTAGTGGTTTTGAGGAGGTTGTGGATTTTGATGGCGACGACTTTCCCCGAGTAGACCTGGACTCCGAGGCGGTCGCGGCCAGCGCGCACCTGTGAGATGACACCACTCGTGCCGTTCAGCGAGGCGGTGTTGAGGCAATGAAGCCAGACGTGATCTCCCACGGACCACGCAGGAGGAGCGGCGACGTCGCCCAGGTCCGTGACAATGTCCGTGTACTTGTCTTCGCCCGTATCCTAGATCTTATCTTTGTCCCCGTCATTGTCTCTGTCATTGACTTTGTCCTTATCGTTGTTCTTATCGTTGACAATGTCCTTGTCCTTGTCGTGACTCTTCAATTTGTCGCCATTGTTGGCCTTGGTTTGGTCGCCGTCGGAGTCTTCGACAAAGACGAGGTCAGCGTAACCAGGAATGCTCGACCAGTCAATCTGTGCTCCAGGGCACCCGCAAGGCGGGATATCGGCGCGGATGAACACCGTGGACCCTCGCACCGACAACAGCGGGCGCCACCGTTCACTGCGCGCTTGGGCTTGGCTTTGCCCTCCTTGTCCTCGTCTTTGCCCCTCTGTTTGTCTTCCTCGCCGTTCTTGCCTTTGCCCGTCAATCCACTCGGCGTCGAGGTAGCACACGGTGGAAGTGCCGTCGAACCCGCCGACACTGAAGGGGACGCCGAAGCACACGACGCCGAAGCCCCATGAGGAAGATCACCTGCTCGGCGGTCTTGCAGATGGTCGGCACGCAGGTCGGAAGAAGACTGACGAGCAGCCAGTTCCTCGAACATGCAAAGCTCGGTCTCGAAGTCGAGGTCGGACGCGAAGGACGAATTCACAGCCACACGTGGCGGCGTAGGCGAAGAGGCAGTGAGAACACTGCGCGGGCCAGAAGAGCTAGCGAGAGAATTGATGAAGCCAGACACCTTCTGCAGATCGGAGCCTGCGTAGCAGCCAACAGGAAGCACCTGGGTCACCGACGGCACGGACACGTGCAAATTGACCAGAAGTTGGACACACTTGAGCAGAGCCGCAATGCCTTCAGACGCCGTGCCACGAGGAGGTAGGATATCGTGTAGTACAAGAGTGGTGCGCGACGATGGTGGTGGGACGCCAGCAGCCCCCACCCCCGGTCCAGCGCCAGCCTCTGGGACGGGTACAGGAGGCACACGATGTTTGGCACGTCCAGCACGAACGTGAGCACGGATATGAGCAGCCGGCGCATCAGGCCCCACACCGTCGCTGGCAAGGAGAGCGGCCTGACGAAGCCCGTGAGAACGCACTCCATTATCAGCTTGTAGATGGGCGTGCAGAGCGAACCCTTGACACATGCACTTCGCATTCTCATATACTGCAACGGGCACCGCGATAAACCGGTGGCCAAGAAGAGGAACACGCAGATAGCCCAGGCGACGAGCACGACGAGCCCGATCGGCGCGCGCAGCAGCGGAACGTTGATGGACCATGCCACCTGCACTGGGCCATGCACGCCACGAGAGCGGCGCCAGCAGCCAAAGACATGCGGCAGAGAGTAGGGCGCGTCTGGGGCCCCGACCCAGCATGCGGCTTGAGCCAAAATGGCTATGGAGGAGGAGGAGGAGGAGGAGGAGACGGAGGAGAAGCAAGGCTACACGGCGCGATCCCCCTCACTCCTGCCAGCTAGGCGAAGTCAGGACGAGGATACCATCGGGTGAGGATACATAAAGAAACTCTGAGAGCCGGCAGCTCTGGAGGATGTCTCGGGCGCCGTGGCCTTCTCAGAGCGTGCTTGAACGCTCTGAGAGCGTTCCCGAACGCTCTGAAGGGATTTATCCTCGTCCTAGCCCCATCCGACTCCCCCCTCTCCCAGTCAGACAGCGTGATCTTTGAATGCGCGACCCCAGCAATCTCGACTTCGTTCGCGGGGGTGGTCCTGGACGAAGAACTACCCCCAGGACGATCAAGAACGGATCCGGCGGAGCCGTTTTTGACTGTCCTGGGGCTGGAAGCTTGTCCCGCAGGCCAACGTCAAGGAAAAGCACGGGGATGGAAAACACATGTCGTCGGACCTCTGGGTCGTGCCCCCCCTCGCGATCCCAGCTGCCCGCCGTCGCGCCACGCCATCCGCGCTGGCGGCGTGTGGTCCACGGGCGATGGTGCCTCTTCGCCAGGCGCTGGGGGCTCCTCAGGAAGCCGCGGGGCCCCAAGAGTCCTCACGAGGTCTCCGTCCCAGGGAGGCGCCCAGGAGTGCTCACGAGGTCACCTGCCTCCGCACACCCACTCGACTACCCCCCCCCCACCCCGCGGACCCAGGAGCCCCAGCGGTTCCCACGAGGTCTCCGTCTGTGTCGCTGGAAGCCCCTGGAGGCCTCCGCGGACTTCTGCTCAAGATGGCAAGACCGTGACGACACCATGAACAGAGGACCGCCTCGGCCGCGATCCTCGAACCTCGATCTTAGGGCCCTCCTGGGGCCGCTCAGGCCCCTGCTCTTCCTCCTTGCTCCGTGCGCTCGGCACTGGCGAGCTCGCTTCGCGAGGCGGACCCCCCTCTCGCAGAGACCTGCACCTGCGCCTTCTTGCGCCTACGGTTATCCGCCATCCGCCACCCCACCTCGCTGCGGCGGGCGTGCCCCTGCAACCCCAGACCCCCGACGCCGTGATGTTTTTGCAACGTCGACCCCCAGAGGTCTGGACCCCCTCCCTGGGCCCTGGTTCATCCCGAGTCGTTCTTTGACGGCCCCGAGGCCCGGGAAGGGCCCCCGGAGGCCGAAAATCCAAGAACCTCCCGTCGTGTTTTTTTCACAGCGCGAGGAGGTCTGGGACTCGCTAGAGGCCTCCTGAATGGGGTCGGAGTAGGTGGTGTCGGAGGATCGCGCCGCATCGCTGTATCGCCGATGCATCGGCGATGCATCGGCAATGCACTGGCGACGTCGGTCCATCCATCGGCGACGTCGGCGTGGAGCAAATCGGGCTCCACATCGGCGATGCATCGCCGATGTATCGGCGATGCGGCACGATCCTCCGACCCCATCTGCTCCGACCCCATCTGGGGGGCCTTGACTCGCTCTGCCTCCGGACATTGCCCGCTTTTCGTCAGGCCGCGTTGGACGCGAGCCAGTCCACCGCGGCCTCCACCGACGAGCAGCGCAGGGCCGCGGCCTCCGCCTGTGTGGGCGGGCGGAGGGCGTGCCGCGTCGAGGCGCGGGTGAACGACTACCGCCCCCGGGGGCCTCTCGGGAGCGCCAGGGGAGCCCCCACATGGCGATGATAGTATCCCAGACATGATCGCGTCGTAAAACAATCAGGATGGGAGGTCTTTGGCCATTTTCGGTCTCGAGGGGCCCTCGCTGGGCCTCGGGAGCGTCAAAAAGTGGCTCAGGATGACAAGCTCGTCCCGGGGAAAGGGTCGGGACTTCCAGGGACCCCGTGTTGGAAAAAACCAAGAGTCGCACGTCTGGGATCATTTTTCTGCAAGCGCTGACCGTTCAGCACGGCTTCTGCGGGTTCGACACGCGGCGGTCGTCTGCCCACGACGCGACTGGTCTCACGCCAACCGGCACTGCCGTGGTGCACGAGGTCGTGGTCGTGGTCGCCGGTCAAGGACGAGGTCGTGGTCGTGGTCGTCGTCGTCTTGTCGTCGTCGTGGTCGTCGTCGTCTCTCCGTCGTCGCTCGTCGTTCATCGTTCGTCGTCGTCGTCCGTCGTCGTCCGAGGTCGTGTCCGTCGTCGTCGTCGTCGTCGTCGTCGTGTTCGCCATTGTTGTCGTTGTTTTGTCGTTCGTCGTTGTGGTTTTGGTTGTTCTCTTCGTCGTGGTCGTCTTCGTGGTCGTCGTCATTGTCCTCGTCCGACATTGCCGTCGTCAGTCGTAGTCGTCGGCGTCGCTCGTCGTCCGTCGTCGTCGTACGTTATCTCCCGTCGTCGTCCGACGTCGTCCTCCGTCGTCGTCGTGGTCGTCGTCGTCGATGGTCCTCGTCGTCGTCGCCGCCGTCGTCGTCGTCGTCGTCATCGTCGTCGCCTTGTCGTCGTCGTCTTCGTGGTCGTCGTGGTTGTCATCGTCGTGTTCGTGGTCGTCGTCGTCGGTGTCGTCGTCGTCGCGTTCGTGTTCGTGGTCGTGGTCGTGGTCGTGGTCGTCGACGTCTTGTCGTCGTCTTCCGACGTCGTTGTCTTGTCGCTTCGTCGTCGCTTGTCGTTCATCGTTCGTCGTCGTCGTCAGTCGTCGTCCGTCGTCGTCCGTCGTCGTCGTCCGTCGTCGTCGTGTTCGCCATTGTCGTAGTTGTTTTGTCGTTCGTCGTCGTGGTTTTGGTTGTTGTCTTCGTCGTGGTCGTCTTTGTGGTCGTCGTCGTCGTTGTCCTCGTCCGACGTTGTCGTCGTCGTCAGACGTCGTCGTCGTCGTCTTCGACGTCGTCGGCATCGCCTTGTCTTCGTCGTCGTCGTCGGCGTAGTCGTCGTCGTTGTCGTCGTCGTGTTCGTCGTCGTCGTCGTCGTCGGTGTCCTCGTCGCGGTCGCGGTCGCGGTCGTAGTCGCGGTCGTGGTCGTGGTCGTGGTCGTCGTCGTCTTGTCATCGTCGTTCGTCGTCGTCGTCGTCGTCGTCGTCGTCGTCGTCGCCGTGGTCGTCGTGGTCGTCGTCGCGTTCGTCGTCGTCGGTGTCCTCGTCGTCGCGGTTGTGATCGTGGTCGTGGTCGTACTCGTCGTCGTCGTCCGCCTGCTGCTCCGAGAAGCCGAGCTCCCGCAGGCGAGCGGCGAGCCCAGGCGAAGCCTCCAGCCGCAGGTGGCAGGGGTCGTCGCCTGGCGGCGGCCGCGGTCGCCGCGAACGCTCGCCCAGTCGAGCCTGCCCCTCATTCGCTGCTGGCCCCGAGCCGAGCACGAGGGGGAACGATTGGGGAATGGCTTAGGCGAAACTCGGGGGCCGCAAACCCGTGTGGTGATGGACCGCGTGGTGACCTCGGAGTCCCCAACGACCTCACTGCGCGGTCCGTCACCGCACGGTTTCGGGACCTCGGAAGCCCCCGTCGCCCGAGACGTCCACGGAGAACGACCCGAGTTCCAAAACAGTGCGGTCACCCCGAATCCCCATTGACTCACCACACGGTGTGGTCACCACACCGTGTGGCGAAAACCGAAGCTGGGTGCAGTGCAGAATCGGACCGGGATCAATCGGGGATCTCCGAGACCTGGCGATTATGGAGGATGTATCGGGCGCCGCGGCCAGTCTAGAGCGCTCCAAAACGCTCCCTGAGAATTGCGGAACGCTCTGAAACCACTTATCCCAGTCATAGCCCCGCCAGGCTGGCTCAAGGCGGGGGGATAGACCCGCGATGGGCCTCCGACTGCGAAGCGGCAGCGTTCCGGGCGGGGAGGGATACTACCATCACGCCCCTGTCGGTGAGTAGTGGGCGCTTGGGGGTCGATGCGCACCCCCCCCTTCCCTGAGCCTATCCCCTGGTTGCTTTCGGGTCATAACTCGTGCCTCCGGAAGCCGTTCAGAACGATTCGGGCACCCACGGACCGCTCTCGGCGAGGCGCAGCTGCTGCACGGCATGCCGAGGCTGAAAGACCGCCGAGAGCAGGCGAACCCGTCCGAAAACCTTGAACCTCGAGCTCCCCCCTGCGCCTATCTTTGGCGGCGCACACGAGGGGGCAGGGGGGAGGTGGAAAAGCTTCTTGGAATGAGGCTGCTTCGTAGAATGCGCCGGCCTTGCATCTATAGAGAAGGCCCGCGCCTTCTAAGAACGAGGGGTGCTTCTAAGAAGCATGTTTGTCCATTCTCGCGGGAGCGGCCACAATTTGCTCCCAGCTTCCCTGGAGATCTCTGGATTTAACTGGATGTATCTGGACTTGCTCGGATTTGCATCGATTTATTTCGATGTCATTATCTGCACTTGCCTTCTTACATCCATCTTGACCCCCGCAGGTCGCTTGGCGAGAACTCGTCAAGCCCTTGGGACATCCTCCTCTCGGACGTCGGGAGGTGGGGAGCCAGGGCGGCGGGTCGCGTTTTGCACTGGAGCCGTGTGGCTCAAGGGGCGCCCGATAGCACGCCCTTGCCGTAGGCCGAGATCGGGGCACGCAAGCGCCAGGACCGACCAGGCTCACATCGCTGGAGGTCTGGGCCGTGGGCGGGACGGGAGGAGGAGGGGAGGGCAGAAGAGATGGGGGGGCGGACGGGAGGATGGGCAGGGGGAGGAGAAAGGGAGGGGGAGAGAGAGGCTGGGAGCAGGAGGAGCAACTGGTAGAACGCACGTCACTGGTCGGAGGAGGAGCAGGAGGAGGAGGCGGAGGAGGAGGAGGAGGAGGAGGAAGAGGAGGAGGAGAAGCAGGAGGAGGAGGAGGAACACGAGGAGGACAAGGCAATAGTTCAGAGGAGGGGGGGGGCTTGGGCGAGAGGGAAGGGGAGGGGGGAAAAGGCGCAACAGTTCGGACACGTCAGTCTGTCCTGGCGTCGCGGGGCTTGACCGCCGTTCAAGCAAGCCTCACAAAACGGGAGGCGCCGTGGGCGGCGTACTTGTGGGCGGTCTGCAGGTGGACGCGCCCGCGAGAAGGAAAGCTTGTGGACTTAGCAATGCGTTTGAAGCGCGTTCACTTGCTGGTGACGAAGAAAGGCGAGTCCGTGACGCCAGCAAGGCGCTGCACGATGGTGGTCGTGGGGCCCTTCCGAAATTTGGCGCACCAGCTGCCGGCAACAACGTCGGAGATGCTGAGATCCTCGAAGGCGGAGTCGCAGAGGAATCGGTGAGCATCCCGCCATTCCGTAACTGTGGCAGCTGCGGTGCGTCACATGGTTGCGGCCATCAGCGCCTCGGTGCCGCGTGGAGTCTCGATGTTGGTCCAGTCGGGGATGGACAGACCCCCCTTTAGCAAAACGTGGTTTAGTGAAAACGACCTGAGGCCCAAACCTGGCGGGCGCAAGCCTGGAAAATAACGGCCGCGGCGCCCTCTCGAGAACCGAAAACGGACAATTCACTAATCGACATGTCACTGTTGGGGGTTCTGTCGCCCCCGATCCAGAGCGCCATTGCTTGGATGTCGAATTTGTCAAAAATTGTTGGGCGCCATTCTGAAGAGCTTGTGACCGGCTTGTGCCTTTTGGAGAGGGCCGTGCGCGGCGGTCCGCGCAGCTGTCCGACGCATGATGGGCAGGCAACGGCGGCGACGTTGTAGAGCTTGACGCATTGCGCACTGCCGGAGTGGAGCGTGTGATAGGGTGTGCTTCTTGATGCGGCCCGAGCACTTGGCAAATGGTGAGCGTTTTTTTCCCAACCATCCTGTGGTGTTGGGTCCTCGTTCTGAAGAGACAGCGCCCCGCGTCCCACCTTCCTCCTTCCTCGTTCCTCCTCCTTCCTCCTTCCTCCTCCTCCCCCTCCTCCCTCCTCCCCCTCCTCCCTCCTCCCCCTCCTTCCCTCTGCTCTCGGCACACCTCTCACACGTTTCGTAGCCCCCTAGGGAGCTCCACCGAAGGCCCCAGTGGCGCAGTTCGCATGCGGTTCCCCCACCCAGGGCACCGCTTCGTGGCCCCATAGGGAGCTCCACCGAAGGCCCCAGTGGCGCAGTTCGCATGCGGTTCCCCCACACAGGGCAGCGTTTCGTGGCCCCATAGGGAGCTCCACCGAAAGCACCACTGGGGGTGTTCGCATGCGGTTCCCGTACCCAGGGCAGCGCTTCGTGGCCCCATAGGGAGCTCCACCGAGGGCCCCAGTGGCGCAGTTCGCATGCGGTTCCCCAGGGCAGGGTTTCGTGGCCCCCTAAGGAGTTCCACCGAAGGCCAGGGCAGCGTTTCGTGGTCGCATAGGGAGCTCCACCGAATGCCCCAGTGGCGCAGTTCGCATGCGGTTCCCCCGCCCAGGGCAGTGCTTCGTGGCCCCATAGGGAGCTCCACCGAAGGCCCGCCCCAGTGGCGCAGTTCGCATGCGGTTCCCCCACCCAAGGCAGCGCTTCGTGGCCCCATAAGGAGCCCCGTCGAAAGCGGCGCCCACAAAGCGTTACGACTTGCTTATGGCTGGGTCCTTCGCCAGGATAATTCCCCATATCCTAAGATGGGGTTCTTGTTCCCCATATCCTAAGATAGGGTTCTTGTTATTACTTGGACGCCGCCGACTCTTGAGAACCAGAGAGACCACACCTACTCATACATAGACTTACTCTTACTCAGGCCTACTCATACTCATACTCATACCTTCTCATGGTCTGACTTACTCAACACACAGCATGCAGGCCTACTCATACTCAGATTTGCTCATGCTGGGACTCCTTCATGCCCAGGCTTACTAGTTATGCTCAGACTCGCAAGGGGAGCCGCCAGGGGTGTTCTCACGGGCCCGTTCGCGGCACATCTGTGGGAATGTCTCAAACGGTTTGCTCGTTTTCATGCCCAAAACCGTTTGCTTTCAGAGCAGATTGCGAGGATGTCTCAAGCGGGGCGCTGGTTTCAGCACCTCTAAGGGGAGCCGCCAAGGGGTAGGACACGGGCCCGTTCGCGGCCAGTTTGTGGGGATGTCTCAAGCGGTTTGCTCGTTTTCATGCCCAACATCCTGGGCGTCCAGAGCAGATTTTGAGGATGTCTCAGGCGGGGCGCTGGTTTCAGCACCCTCAAAAGGAGCCGCCAGGGGGTAGGACACGGGCCCGTTCACTGCCAGTTTGTGGGGATGTCTCGGTTGGCTTGCTCGTGTTCATGCCCAGCATCCTTGGCATTCAAATTTGATCTTGGAGATGTCTCGAACGGGGCGCTGGTTTCAGCACCCCTAAGGGAGCCACGCAGTGAATAGTTATTACTGGGGCGTCGCCGATTCCAAAGAGAAAACGCCCACTCATACACAGACTTACTCATACTCAGACCTACTCATACTCATACCTTCTCATGGTCTGACTTACTCAACACACAACATGCAGGCCTATTCATACTCAGACTTACTCATGCTGGGGCTCCTTCATACCCAGACTTACTCATACCCAGATTCTTTCCCATACCTGCTCATACACCGACTTACTCACACTCATACCTACACATACTCAGACTTTCTCATAATCTGAGTTACCCAACGCACGGACTGAAACCTACTCGTATTCAGACCCCATCGTATTCGGACTCGCGAAACAAAAAACGCCAGGGGTGTTTTCACGGGCCCGTTCGCGGCAAGTTTGTGGGGATGTGTCAAGCGGTTTGCTCGTTTTCATACCCAACATCCTTAACTGTCAATGCAGATTGTGAAGATGGCTCAGGCGGGGCGCTGGTTTCAGCACCCCTTTCGCGGCCAGGTTGTGGAGATGTCGCAGGTGTCGCAGGCGGTTTGATCGTTTGCATGCCCACCATCCTTGGCGGTCAGAGCAGATTTTGAGGATGTCTCAGGCGGGGCGCTGGTTTCAGCACCCCTCCAAAGGGGCCGCCACGGGGTAGGACACGGGCCCGTTCGCGGCCAGTTTGTGGGATGTCTCAAGCGGTTTGCTCGTTTTCATGCCCAACATCCTTGGCTTTCCGAGCAGATCTTGAAGATGTCTCACGCGGGGCGCTGGTTTCAGCAACCCTAAAAAAACACCAGGGGGTAGGACACTGGCCCGTTCGCAACCAGTTTGCGGGGGATGTCTCCGGCGGTTTGCTCGTTTTCATGCCCAACATCCTTGGTGTTCAAAGCAACTGTTGCGGATGCCTCAGGCGGGGCGCTGGTTCCAACACCCCCGGGGGGAGCCGCCAGGGGTGTTTTCACAGGCACGTTCGCGGCCAGTTTGTGGGGATGTCTCAAGCGGTTTGCTCGTTTTCATGCCCAACACGTCAGAGGAGATTCTGAGGATGTCTC